TTCCTCCACCCCAGAAGAAACAACCCGCAATGGGGATCCAGAACTGATAAGAAGCAGTCTTCAATTTCACCCACATGATCACCGAACTCTCCTTCGGCCCGCACTACCCCACGCTCCTCAACCCGCTCGACAAGACCATCGCCGCCACCGAGCACCACTACTACAAGTACCAGTACTTCCTCTCCGTCGTCCCCACCATCTACTCCAAGGGCACCGCCGCCCTCCAGGAGATCTACACCGACCCGCAGCACGCCCGCACCAACAGGAACCTGGTCATCACCAACCAGTACGCCGCCACCAGCTCCGCCGACGTGCTGCCCGAAAGCCCCTACTTCATCCCGGGAATCTTCTTCAAGTACAACATCGAGCCCATCCTGCTGTTGGTCAGCGAGGAGCGCTCCAGCTTCCTGGCCCTGCTCATGCGCCTCGTCAACACCGTCTCCGGTGTCATGGTCACCGGCGGCTGGCTGTATCAGATGGCCGGCTGGGCGGGCCAGTTGCTCCTCCGGCGGCGGCGGGAGAAGTCCGAGGGGATGCTGAATGGGAGGCATTTTGCCGAGGATTGAATCTGGTTTCCTGATCGCACTGTGTCGAAGGAGCGTTTGGTTTTATATGCTAGCCAGGAACCTGGAATGATATTCGGGATACATATTGACACTTGGTTTAAAAAGATATCTTGCCGCTAATCTTCGAATGATCTGTCATATTCGTCATCCTTTATCTTTGTCAGAGGGTCGCGATTCGTTGGTCCGATCGGAATGACTTCTGCATTGACTTCAAGACAGAATGTAGCTCGAGGTCCAGTGCTGCTCTCGAAAATGCACACTATACATGACAGCCAGACCCAAACAGCAGCATAGGTATACAAACTACATACATGTAAACGAAGATCACATGCTCGAAGTAGTATACAGAAGCACCAGTCACAAGGTGGTCGTATAATAGTACTGTAGTAGTAATTGTCTAAGTCATATCATCTCACTCCAGTCACACCTTCCGATCACTGCAGGAAGCACTCCGTAAAAAAGCAAGACAAAACCACGGGTGTACAATTCCGGGTATCGATCCTCGAGATTCTCTTCGAGATAAAGATAAATAAATATACAGGTTGGGGAAGGGGCGTTTAGCTGTCCAATAAAAGTCTTCATCCCACCCAACAAACACCCAAGGGTCATCACAGACAATAAAAAAAGAGTGACATATGGAAAGTGTAGGAGAAGAAAAAAAAATGCCGACATATGCATGCAAAGATTTTGACAACAAGAAAGAATAAGAGGGGCTCTCAAGGTCATGACGAATACCACAAAAACGAGAAACAAACATGCTTGAAAGAGAACTTTGCAACAAATCTGAAAGGTCATGGTCGAAAAGCATGCACATGCTCGATTAAGGGTATAAGGTAAAAAAACTCTTGGTCCGTTCGCTTCCTCTTCTCTTGGGCGGGCCTCGAACAAAGTTTCAAAATCTCAATCATGACGAACGGGGACACGCAGAACCTCTTATGTGTCGGAGCCCGTTTATGCAACCTTGGTAATCAAACAATTATTATTACAGATATGCAAAGAAGCGAGGCAGAAAGGAGAAGGAAAAAGATCTAGATGAAATTGCCTGCATCACTTGGTCCTCTATGAACTGAGTTAGTCGCTATCCTGAGAGATGTTTGGTGTTTCACAATGAAAGATCCACTTACCAGGCTGGTCACAGCCGCCGCTGTTGCGAGATCAGGCTTACCACTGATACTTCTAGCCGCAACACGGGGTAAAGCGGACCCAGGAGTGCCTGTGCTAATACTCGTGTTCCGTTTGGCGGGCGTCGACGGTGGAATTCCGCTCACAGTCGAGTGACGCTTGCCAGCGGGCTTGACCGGGGAGGTGCCCGAGGCGTCTCGAGTGCGGGCGAGAGTGCCGCCTTTCAGGCCGGCCACAGGTGGCTCTGGAAGAGGACGCCCTAGGGACGGGTTGGAAGAGATCACCCGCTTGGCTGGAGAATTGTTCGTCAAAGTATATTGCCTCGGACGTGAAGCCAGCTTGATACCAGTGATGAACTCGTGACGAAGCGCGTCTTGAGGACTCATCCGACGAGCGGGATCCCACCGAAGGCAGCGGGCTATAAAGTCAAGGAAGGCTTCATCGTCACACTTCAGGACCTGCCGGAGCTCCTTGGAGCTGGGACGACGCCTTCGGCCCTTCGAAGAAACCGTAAGCCTCGGTTTGCCCAACGAGTCAAAGAACAGCTTCTTGCGAGTACTCTTCTCGATCAAATGCTTCTCCGGAGGTCCGAACACCTCCATTATGCAGGCAAGCTGTTCCTGCTCATTTTCGCCTGGGAAGATAGGGTAGCCAGTAAACAGCTCGGCAAGGATGCACCCTACACTCCACATGTCAATGGGCATACCGTATGACATGCCAAGAATGACTTCGGGAGAACGGTAGAATCGACTCTGGATATATGTATACACTTTCTCATTCTCGAAGCAACTGGAGCCGAAATCAATGACCCGAATGTCAGAGCTCAACGGGTGACACAGCAAGATGTTCTCCGGCTTCAGATCACAATGAATGACCTTCTTCGCCTGCAATAGCACCAAAGTGTTCAGCATTTGTTTAGTGAAGCGGCGGATGAGCTTGAGAGAGAAGCCCTTGAAATCGTGAGCTTTGATGAATTCGTACAAATTCATTCCCAACAACTCGGTGGAGATGCAAAGATGGCCACGGAAATAAAAGCTTTGGGTGAAGTTGACCACGTTATGCCGACGCTGAGGGTCCCACTCCTTCAGTTTCTGAAGAAGGTTGACTTCGATCAAGGCTTGCTGGTGGAATCGTTTCTTATTGCGGATGATCTTGACTGCAACAAGACCTCCCGTTTTGTGGTCAATGCATCGCACTACCTGACCAAAGCTTCCTTTACCGAGAACATCGATCACTTCATAGCGGTATGCCAGATGATCCCCAATGACGATATTGTAGTCGCCGCGGTCGTCGTCGTAGCCAAAATTCGCTTGGACGGATAGATCACCAACGTGTTTCTTGGCATTTTGGGTGCCACAGAAATAGACATCTTTGAAGTCGATGATCTCTCCTCGCTCGAATATATTCAAGTTTGCGATTCGTAGGGCCTGCGCTGGGCTCACACGCTCCTTGGGACTAGCTTTGCGACGCAGATCATCCAGATTCTTGGCGGCCGTCTCAAAGTCTTTGCGTTTACTGCCAAGTTTGCGCATCTCTTCGTCAGCAACACGAATATCGGGGTCAACGTTGGGATCGCTGGTAGGCGGGGGAGCTGGAGTAGAAGCCACGCTGGACTTAGCCGAACTGATGATTCTGTGAACCGGCGAAAAGATTGAGCTTGCAGTCCGATGCTGAGGAACGGGAGGGTCACTGTCATTGGAGTCATTGGATGGGCTCGGTTCCAAGGCAAGACTCTGCTCACTGCTGAAGCTAGGCTTCCTCAGTGTCTGGCCAGAGGCTTTTGAGACAGATGCTTGCCGTCGGGACTTGAGATAGCTTGGTTTAAGCGTGGGGCTGGAAGTCTTGATACTAGTGAGGTTGTTCCAAGTCGAGGATGTGGGAATCTTCGGGGGTGGCATTGGGTCATGTTTGACGGGATCGCTGCTGGCTTCAACTCCTGTCTGAGTCTTAGAGCTGCTTCGCTTCCGGGTCATTGTGATCTTGTTGCGAAGGGATGAGCTCGATATACTGTTATTGTCCGGGTCGGAGGGCGTTGAGAGCTGACTGATCGTCTCCGCGTTCGATGAGAAAGCAGAAGACTGTGTTTGAGGTCGAGGACCTGTCATTTTGTACGACTGAATCGCTTTGGGCGAATAGTCGTCACTGCCTTTCTGCTTCAAGTTCGTATGTTCACTGTTGCTTTTCGGAAGGCTATATGCAACATAAGGCGACACCGTCCTTGTATTAGTCGGCGTGTTGTCGAACCCTGCAAGAGCACTGGAGCCGCTCACAGTTCGCAAGGCTGAGGCAGTTGATGAAGTACTCAGCGCAAAATGTGAAGTGCTGCTTCTCGCTTGTGTAACTGCCAAAAGATCATCATCCTCGACTGTCGAGAAAAAGTTGGCCTTCGAGGCAGTCAGGGGAGTACTCGGTGTCTTGGATGCGATCTGAGCGGATGGCGTGTGAACTGTCAGATCATCTTCACGATCTCTCAATGCCTCGATCTTGGTTGTCATGGGCGTGCCAAGGGGAAGCAGATTCAAAGGTGGTAGTTTGAGAGGTTGAAGATTCCTTTTCCCAAGAAGCGCGGAGGTTCTAGGCTTGGCTTCAGGAGTCTTCATCGCGCGTCCTTCTCTTGTCTTGGGGGCGTCCTCCGTTGAAATAGTCGCGGTCAGGTTGTTATCCGGTTCTGACTCGAATTTAGGTTTGGAGCCTGTTTCCATGTTTAAGCTTGGCTTGCGCGGAGTGACATAATTCGGCGGCTCAAAATCACCCTTAGGGGATTCATAGGCTTTCGGGATCGCAGGAACAGGTGGGACCTCCTCATCAGGCGGGTTCGGTTCGGAGCGGGTCTTGGGAGTAGGTAATCGGGACGTTGACGAGCTATGAGATAGGCGGTTTTGCAATGAGCCAGCTGAATTTCTTACGGAATTGTAGGTTGTGGTTGATGAGAGCGACAGGCCGGAACTGTACGACTTGCGATTCGGGTCAGGGGTGGTTCGGTTTGAGGACGGAGTAACGCTCTTTCGAGGTATATGCGACGGCGATTGCGCGGACGAGCGTGGTCGGACAGGCATGGGCTCTGTTTGGGTCGGAGGGGTAAAGGGCGTAGGGTGTGCCGAAGGAGCTGTTGACATACGTTTAGCCCGACGAGCATCGGTAGGGCTTATGGTACGGGCTCCAAGACCATGTACATGTGGCGGCATGACCGAGACTCTTTTGCAGGACGAGGCTGGAGTATTGGGAGCGGCTGCCGCGGTTTTAACTGGTGTTCGAACTGCATTAGTCGATGATGACCGAGAATATTCTGCTGGGCCAGACGCTGTCAAGTATTTCTCGTGGGGCTCTCGCAACGGTGGCTGAAGCGACTTTGCCTTGATACTCCGCGCGTTGCTGGAAAGCTTCGTACCTTCGGTTCGACCGAGATCGAATTGCTGCGTGCGGGGACGGAGATAGCTGGTCTGCTCTGTACGAGTGGTATCCGCGCTCGCTTTCCTCGCAGACAGGCTCTGTCGTCTCCCGGTCACGGTGGATGGCAATGAGACCGGGCCTATGGACTTCCTCGGGGCACGCGAAGCTGTACCATTCGGGCCCGCTTGTTGAGCAAGGCTTTGGCGACGATTACGACCTGTCGTAGTAGAAGTCGCTGATGGACGAGATGATACCGATTCGCTGGACGAATTAACCACGCTTTTCCGCCGGATAGAATTGCTCCTGGAGCGTGTACCCTCCCCATTGGTACTGCCATTCGTCCAACCGGGCTCATACCCCGAACCAGTGTTTCCAGGCACGGGGAAGTACTTCAGCTGCGATTCTCCCACAATACTATTCTGCATGTCATCGAAGTTGACCGAGGAAAGGAACTCGGTACTTTGGGAGGGCATTTGATTGTAGTCTGGCTTCGCTAACTTTCCGACACTGGTAGATCGTAGGCTAATGCGGGAATTGTTGCTCTGCGTTGAGTCATTTGTGGAATCGATCGAGGAGTTTCCGGAGTGGAAGAACGAGCCGGGTGTATTGCTACATGTTGTTCAAATTAGTATCAACATGCGTGATCGGAAATCTTAAAGCTGGAGGCCAAAGGTTTCACAATTGAATTTAAAATAGCGGGAATGTGGGGGGAGAGGCAACGGAGAGCTTGAGGCGATTATACCTTGTTCGTGAAGGATCCTGCGGTCGTGGGCCTTGCGGCGCTTTCTGATCGCGAATAGACAATCTCCTCCGGTTCATTACACTTGTTCGGGTTGCGGCAATGGATTTGGACGAGTGGGACGAAGCTTCGGAAAGGAAAGAGGTCGAAGAGTGCTTTTGCAACCGTCTGCGCGTGGGTCCTTCTGTTCAAGCGAGTGACAATGGGTTAGCCGTGGTCAACAAAGAACCACCTGCAAGCGATAACGACGATTCCGATCTTGGTCAAGCATTTTTACCTTCTGGACATGAGCCGTCATTTCTAGAAGGGCTCGAAGACCTCGATTGGACTTTGCGCAAGTGCCCCTTTCCTGGAGTGTCTTGAAAAGATGGATTTTCCGGCATCATCCTCGAACTGCGACCGGGAGAGCTCCGGACGACAGGTAGGTAGATCAACCGGAGGCGAGAGGTTGGGGAAACGAGTTAGCGGGGGGATGCAAGGGCAAACCCAATCGCAATGGCATTCAGGAGTAGAAGGCGAATGTTATTTAATTTTTTTTTTCGGTGTCCAAACCAAGCAGAACCCTGATCAACACCGTCGCGCGACCCATCAACGGTTGCTACCGGTCCATTGCGGGGGTCAAGAACAGCGGTGTCTGCTGCGGGCTGGGCGACGAAGGAATCTGGTAATCGATTAGATCGAGTCGAAACCACAGATGAAAGCTCTGTCTGCGAAAGCCGTTCTGGGGGCCCCTTTTCGGGCAAAAATCCCAAAGAAAAGATGGGTGATGTTCTGCAGAGAAGAAACTCTGCCTGGGGCAGCAGTAGGTTGTTCTTTGCCAGACTTGGCGTCGAAGAAAGTTACGTACGGGCTTGTGTACAGTACACCTGAGCAACCACTCCAAATGAGAAAGAGCAAACACGGAGTGTGCCCGACACGGGTGAGAATAGGAAGGTGGTTAAGAAAAAAGAATGAATGGGTGATGTGACAGAAGAAGAGAAAAGAGTACAGGTCAACAATGAGAATCCCCTATACTTCTATGCCTGAGACAGTAAGTGGGGGGGGGATGGAAGTGTGTTGTGTTAGGAGAAAAAAGAGACCGAGAGAGGAAGGATTGATATGAATGGAACTGGAAAAATAAAGAGGTGGTAAACAATTTCGAGCCCGAGACCCATTCAGAAACCTCTTTAGTTGTGCCCCCTGCTCCTTTTTGCCTGCTTCCATGGCTGCAAACAGCCCAAACACCCACTCACTTAGTTACCATTTGGGCGGGATCGCCCCGATGGTACTCCGTAATCTGCTCACTGCAGTAGTTAGTAAGTTAACCTACCGTCATCCGTCATTCCCTCCGTCCTATCTACTGCTCTACGTAATGGTCGTATTGCGCAATACCACCCGTGACTGACTGTCACTGACCCTATCCATAGTTACAATACAAGCTCCCGCCGATAAGCTCGGTGACCCCAAAATCTGGGCATCCAGCCATGCATGTGCTTCTGCTGCTGCGACTTCACTTGTGACCTCACTCTTTCCTTTCTCCACACACACCACCCCCCTTGGAGATGCTCCTTCTACTTGATTTGACTTGACCACAGCAGAAGAGTCCTCGTTGATGGATCGTCATGGATGATACTATCGCAGAACCCATCGTCAATCGCGATGAGCCTATACCTGTCATATTCTCCGACAAGCAGAAACATGATACCAAGCATCCGCGAGCTCGGGGGCACAAGCAATCAGTCTCGGGGGTTGGGCGGTCTCTGCAGGACAGGCTATTCTCCAAGTATGTTCTTTGATCCATTCGCAATGCTCTCAGACTTTCCCTAACCCATCTGTTCAAAGAATTCTGGAGCAGGTAGTGCCTACAGAAGATGCCGATAAGGAACCGTTGTCAGGCGGCGACAAGTCTCTCGCCGCAGACCCCAAGCGGCCAGCCTTCAGCCTACCTCTCATGGCAAACAATTTTCGCAGGTTCAATGCAAGGTACAATACTAAGCCTCCCAGTTTTAATTTACAGAAGATGCTAAGGATCAATGCAGAATTGGAATTGTCTTTACGTTTCAAATCCAGGTTGAGCGTCTGTTCAGCTGGAAAAAAGCCTCCCACACGCTTTCGTTCCTCTTCATCTATTCGTTCATCTGTCTGAACCCACACCTCTTCGTACTGATTCCGATCTCCATTCTTCTATTCTTCATCATGGTGCCTGCATTTCTTGCGCGACACCCTCCCCCTCCTTCAACGTCAACCTCAAGTATCATGCCTTACTACTCTTACGATGGCCCGGCACTGGCACCTGCGAAAACCATCAAGCCAGCCTCAGAGACCTCGAAGGACTTCTTCGTGAATATGCGGGACTTGCAGAATTGCATGGCGGACTTCTCCGACGCCCACGACGCCATGGTCTCCGCCTTTGCACCTGTGACCAATTTCTCCGACGAGAAGCTTTCGTCAGCGGTTTTCTTACTGTGCCTGCTCGTTGCCGCTCTTTTGTTCTTGACTGCCCATCTTGTTCCTTGGCGCTTGGTCTTCCTGGCTGGCGGTAATCTAGCTATATTCTCCCTGCACCCTCGTTTTCACCATTTTGTCCAGGCTATCACAGCGGACCTCTCACAGCAACCTGCGGGAACGGAATCCATGGCCGAAAAGCAACTCAGGAGCGCGGCAAACGCTGCTGGGGTTCCACTACCCGCTTCCTCCTCTAGTGCCATGTCCTTGATGAGATCATTGGCTAATATCTCTCTGGATTCTGACACTGAAGAACGCGAGGTCGAAATCTTTGAGATTCAGTATCGGTCCCTGGCACCATATGCCGAATCTCAGTGGGACCATTTCCTGTTCAGTCCGATGCCATACGACCCACTCTCGCCACTTCGCATCGCAGGCGACCGTCCCAAAGGGTGCCGGTTTTTCGAGGACGTCCAACCTCCAAGCGGTTGGGCATGGAAGAGCAAAAAGTGGGAGCTGGATCTAGACTGTCGCGAGTGGGTGGTCGAGCGCATGATCACGGGGGTTGGCTTCGAGGTACCGGGGGGCGCTTCTGAAGACCAAACAGCCGGTGGAGAGATCGGGGGCTGGGTCTGGGATCTGCCTCCTGCTTTTGTCGCGGATGACAACACAGCCAGTGATAGAAAAGCTTCTGCCAAGAAGGGTAAGGAACGTGCCTCGCACGATTATGAAGAAAGAGGTAATACCGGAGGAATGGGTGAGTGGAGAAGGCGGCGCTGGGTTCGCGTGGTACACAGAACTAGTATGCCGGCTGGTCAGCAACAGACGACAAATGATGAGACGTACTGATGATGAGGTTTGCGCATGAAGTTCACAGCTCCGGTGAAGGTGAAGTTCTCAATCTCCTTTTAAAGTTCGGATCAGCATTAATGCAAATTCGCAATGACACTGATATCACGTGACTATAATTAACTGTTTCACTTTCTGAACAAGAATGCTCTTGGGACTCACCCCACTTACAGGAGACAAGAAACCAAGTAATTTATCTTATACGCTTGGTGATCAGCTCTCGGCCAAGGCATGCAAGGAATCGTGCGAGTAAGGCTATTTGTGCGAATAGAACTATTCCTACGAGCAAGAAATCACGTAAGAAGTTGCGGCTGTGGCAGTGCTCATGGCAGTAGCAGTCCTAGCAGTCCTCGCAGCTGTGGTAGCTTTTGCAACTGTAATAGCTGTGGCGAGCAAGGCCTCACACTATCAAGACTAGCGGATAACAGCAATAACAAATATAGATTATATGATTTGTGCTTGGCAGGCTATCCAAGCAGCTAATCAGTATGTTTGAACAGCGGATGACTTGTCCCCGAATGGCCAGTTTCTTGTAGGACGCAGCACATACATGCTTTGGAACAATAACCATACCCTGTCTGGAGGACTACTTACACAAGGGCCTGACCTGCAGGCAGCGCCTATGGCGGGCCCAGGAGGGCCTATACTTATATCTTCCTAAGCAATTTTTGAGTAGCCGAAGGTCTATATTACAGCTTTGACGGCCTAATTTCACAGCTAGACAAGAGCATCTATACAGCTGTTCCTGGTCTAATTATACGGCTGTTCAAGTGCCTTTATAATTATGATGAGAACGTTGCACTGCTCGGCCAAAAGAATATTAAGGTACTGATCTAGCCGAGAATGTTTGTCAAGCCGAAGATCTGGACTATGTATATACTACAGTATACAAAGATTCTGTTCTGAGGGTTCTATAAGATCTAAGTAGTACAACGATTTCTCTTTTGGACTTCTGTAAGGCCTAAGACTAACTTTCAAGTCTATAATATAGTTTTTTCCAATTACAGGCAAAGTGCTCAGCACCCGAAGAACCACTAGATGCCTGATCGATACAACCTTATATAGTGTACGCAGTGTAAAGCCATCGGCTTTACATTCTAGTCCTTTTGCTAATGATTCAACGGCTGTCCTTTGGAATGCGCACCTGAAGGTGCTTTGTGACAATTAGATTCAAGTGGTTATATTGGTTTTTCTATGATTTAGATCTGTGTTGGTGGGGCTGCCAGAGCTAATAAATAAAGACTTATAATCTGATAAAGATATTATGCTACTTATTTTAAGAAATATTAAAGTACTAATCTAGCTAATTGATTGCTTCAAAGAATTCTAAATCCCATAAAATGGCCTGTATAGAGCAGTGCAAGATAGAGCTGGTTAAGGCTGAATTAACTCAATGGTTTGGGAGCTAGTAAGATGGATTGTGGTTGTTATTGCTAATATCCGACTAAAAATACATTTAGAACTTTTTCTTCGATACTTAAGTTCTGACAAAAGTCCATTGAGTCAGGGGCTGAGGTATATTCATCAAACTTTATTGAGGTAATGAGTCTCTTAGTTCTTATGTTTATACTGACATTTTCTATTGTGGTGTATCTCTTAAAAAAGATTTAAGAAAGTAGAGATAAACAGTATTATCATGATATTGACTTAAGGTCTGATCTTGAGAATAAGAATAAGATGATAAGTAATATTAGGAGTTGAATTTATTCTAACCTCAATAGTCGCTACTAGGATTATATCAAAAGTGTTGTAGTGGGGGAGTGTTCTCACCCCCTCTAGGTTACGCCCCGCTCACCATCCTTCTGCTAGTCTGTTTTCGGATGTAGTGCCTGAGGCATGAACAAAAGGCGGTGCGGAGTCCGCCGTTTTAGCGTCTTAGCCTAAGGTGAGATGAGAGACCTGGATGGCTTACTACTTCCTCTAAGTGCCTTGTGTTACCAAAACCCAGTCTTTAGGTGGTCAATTCTGATGCTGATAGACATGAATGATGGAGATGCTAGTTCCTGTCATTGGCTGTGGGTAAGCTCTTCTGAATTCTTATCTGACATGCATGTATCGAATGTCCGTTGTTGACATATTCCGCCTCAGGACTCTCCCCATGCGCGGCCGTCGCTCTGTGCCTTGGAGTACCTCTCTCTTGCACCAGCGATCGTTATTTTGATCATTGCACTGAGCCACTTACTATCACATGGAGCTTCGATAAGATGCCCAAAATGGATGAATACCTTCATTCAGGAGCAGCCAGCATTGATAGAGCTGCCCATAGAACGGCCACCGCAGCGGGTTGGCTGGGTTGTAGCCCTGTTCGCCATCTCGATGATTGGATTCCTAGCTGAACTGATCAGTGTTATCCTCGGCGGGCCTTTGATAAGCACCGCACTCCCTGTCTCCTGGGTACGTGGAAAAAGCAATGGTTCGCGATGAAACTCCGCCCCGCTGACAAGGGACCAGGCTGTGGCTGCTGCCATGGTTGCAGTGCTGCGCCCGAGATCGTGCCCTACATCCCTGCTTTCCTTTTTTCTGAGTGCATTGGTGGTTGAGTCCGCATATCTCATCAATGATGATGTGTATAATGTCTCTAGACTCTTCACACGCCATGTGGCTGCTGCTGCTGCTTTGGCCGGCTGTACGGTCATCCTTGCAATGCCCTTTCGCCGCCATAGTCTTCCGCAGGACGACATCAGCGCCGTTGGTCAAGTGCCATCCAGCGACTTGCGCAGCCCAGAGGACAACTTGCGACTTTGGCAGTTTCTGAGCGTGTCTTGGATGGCTCCATTAATTTCTGTAGGCAAGAACAAACAATTGCAGGAGGAAGATGTGTGGTTTCTGGGGTACGAGTTTCAGCATCGCAGACTGCACGAGAAGTTCCGGCAATTGAAAGGATCCGTGCTGGGAAGGCTACTTCAAGCGAATGGAATTGACGTGCTAATAATAACGACAATCTCCATCGTGCAGATGTTTTGTGGTTGGTAACCTGTCAATGAGGGGCTGCGCGTCGCTGACTAAATATGCAGATTTCTCGACCCCTGTCTTGCTCCAGCAATTGTTGCAGGCGATGAAGGATCGAGGCACATCCAATAGACCGGCCTTGACCTATGCATTGCTGAGTCTGATGCTTCGCCTGGTGCTAGCGCAGGCCCAGGTTCTCAATCTGTGGTACGGGAGACGTGCCTACGAACGGAGTAGAGGCGAGATGATCATGATGGTTTATGAGAAGGCACTTTCGAGAAAGAACGTCTTTGATCAGGAGATAAGCGAGAAGGAAGATGGATCCGAGCCCTCCGAAGAAACGGATGATGATACAGAATCGGATCGCCAATCAAAGAGGTGGTGGTGGCCCTTCTCGCGCTCCAAGAGGGTAACGCGCAAGGAGAAGATTAAGAAAACAGCGTCCATGGGCAAAATCTTCAATCTATTACGTGGAGACGTCTACGAAGTCGCGCAGAGATTCTGGGAAATTGACTCCCTGATTGACAAACCGCTGGGGCTTATCATTGCGACCGTTCTCGTCTGGAAGCTTCTCGGCCCGTCATGCTTCTTGGGAGTTATAGCCATTCTGGTTGCCCAAACGCTTAACGCGTTCATCACTCGTACGCTTCTTCGTTGGGAACGTGTACGTCGCCTAGCAACAGATACCCGGCTTCAGATATCTTCTCAATTTGTTGAGGCTCTGCGACATTTGCGTTGGTATGGTTGGCAGAACCATTGGCTCCGTCAGGTAATGGACGCCAGACAGTCCGAGTTGAACCTGCGAATTGTCACTAGTCTTTGGAATGTGCTGATTCGCTTCATCAACACCCTTGCTAGTGGGCTGTTCCCTGTGGTCGCATTATACGCTTACACCTTCTTGGCTGGAAACCCGCTGCGCATCGATATCATCTTTCCTGCTCTTCAGCTGTTTACAATGTTGGAAACCCGACTGAGGGATATCCCGAGTCTCATCACTGTGCTCATAAACGCCTCGATCGCTATGGAGAGAATCGAGGACTTCATGGCAGAGCCTGATAAAGAGAACACGCCACTTGCTGCTGACTGCGCCTCTCTCATCAAACTGGAATCATGTACCTTTGCCTGGCCCGGGAAATTATCACCTGTGCTTGCCAATCTCAACCTTGACGTGCCTCAAGGTCTGACCGTTGTCCACGGTAAGGTGGGATCTGGCAAGACAGCTTTGCTCCAAGCCCTACTGGGCGAGCTGGATAGACTGGAAGGAATCTCCCATCTCCCAAATGAAATGGTCGGGTTCTGTGCTCAGACCCCGTGGCTGCAGAGCATGAGTATCAGGGACAACATTCTGTTCTCGTCGCCGTTTGATGAGCAGCGTTACAAGCTGGTGCTAGATGCCTGTGCACTTATACCGGATCTCTCCAACTTCAAGCATGGTGACCTGTCTTTTGTGGGCGAGAATGGAATAGGTCTCTCTGGGGGTCAGAAGGCACGGGTGGCTCTGGCACGGGCAATGTATAGCTCGGCTAGGATACTGCTACTTGACGACCCTCTTTCAGCCTTAGACCATAATACAGCAGAGACAGTTGTTCATAAATGTTTCTTGGGTCCGCTAATGCGCAACCGGGCTGTGGTACTTGTCACTCACAGAACCCACCTAGTCCGTGAAATTGCTGACCAAATTGTTCGCATCGAAAATGGGAAGGCCACGGTAGAAATTAACCAGAATGTGTCGTCTCATGGCAGCGATGACCAGGAAAGCGCTCCGTCAGAAAGCACAGAAACTGCCAACGAGGGTGAAGTTGCTCTTGAAGATGCCTCTGCTGCAATTCCCTCGAAATTCATAGAAGAAGAACATAGAGCAGAATGGGGAGTGCAGGCACGAGTATATTGGAAGTACATCCAAGCTGGCAAATACCGCTGGTGGCTCGCCCTCTTTGCGGTATTGACAATCTATCGCCTGTCTTCCGTTGGCCAGTCATGGTTTCTCAAGGAGTGGGGAGAGGCATACAAGCAGGTACTCTTGTTCTTCGGACAATCGAACCTCAACCGTGTGTCTTCCAGTGCGGAACTAACTACCGCCTCGACGATGGCAAACAACATCCACTGGGCGCCGCGGGACCCATTTGGTGGCTTCCCCGCGCCAGAAGAGAATGTGAAACCCTGGTTGGTAGCATTTTTGCTCATTACCAGCTTTCAGTCCCTGATGCTTCTGCTCGCACAGCTTCTGATGTTGGTGATCGTCTATTGCGCCGGCCGAACGCTGTTCGAGGAGGTGATGGAACGAGTGAGCAACGCCACGTTCCGATTCTTCGATGTCACGCCCGTGGGTCGCCTGATGAATCGACTTACTTCTGACATTGGAGTGGTCGACGGGAACATCAGCGAACAGTTCCAAATGATCGCATTCCAAGCCATCACCTGGGTGTCCTCGATCGCCGTGATCGCAACTGTGACTCCCACATTCCTCGGGTTTTCGCTCCTGCTCACCGCGGCCTTTGTTCTCATCTTCCGACGATTCCTCCCCACCTCGCAGAGCTTGCGACGTCTGGAGATGGTATCGCTGAGTCCACTAATCTCCAACTTCGGTGAACTGCTTCATGGCCTAACCACCGTGCGCGCCTTCCACGCTGAAAGCCGCTTCCAGGACCGCGTCATCGCCGTCGTCGACAAGTTCCAGGGCATGGACCATTTCTACTGGTCACTGCAAAGCTGGCTCATGTACCGGTTTGAGAGCCTTTCCGCGGTCTCGACCTTCTGCCTTACCGTCCTCGCTCTCTACACCAGCGTCAGCCCCGGCCTAGCAGCCTTCGTCCTGATCGCGGCCAACAACTTTGTCACCAGCACCCATGCCCTGTGCAAGCAGTACGGCCAGCTCCAAATGGACTTTGTATCGGTCGAGCGAGTGGACGAACTGCTGCACGTGGAGCAAGAACCCCTCGGCACAATCGATCCTCCGGCCTCGTGGCCCAAATTCGGCCAGGACATCGTCTTCGAGGACGTGACGATCCGCTACGCGCCGCACCTCGACCCCTCCCTTCGCAACATCTCCCTGCGCATCCCCGGCGGCTCCACAACGGCCATCATTGGGCGCACCGGCAGCGGCAAGTCCACGCTGGCCGTCGCTATGCTCAGCGTCGTGCGGCCCGAATCCGGGCGCATCCTCGTCGACGGCCTGGACATCGCGCAGGTCACAACGCAAGCGCTGCGGTCCCGCGTCACGTTCGTCGCGCAGGACCCTGTCCTCTTCCCCGGGAGCATTCGGCTCAACCTCGATCCGACGGGGGAGTACTCCGACGCCGATTGCGCCGAGGTGCTCAAGCGCGTCTGCAGCCGCCACGGCTGGAGTCTCGAGACGCCCGTGGAAGCCGGAGGCCGCAATCTGAGCCAGGGCGAGCGGCAGCTGATTGGGCTCACGCGAGCGGTGCTGCGGCGCAGTCCCATCGTCATCCTGGATGAAGCGACGGCGTCTATCGACCATGAAAGCTCGTTGGAGATCCAGCAGATTCTACGTGAGGAGATGAGGGAGTCGACGGTGGTGACCATTGCGCATCGGCTGGAAGCGATCAAGGATGCGGAGTATTATATTGTATTGGATAAAGGAGGGGTTTTGGAGCAGGGATATGTTCGGGATATGTGAGGTGGAATCATGGTGAAGGGATCCGCCTTTTCTACCACGAAGCATTTCCTATAGCTAGACCGATAGAAAAGAAGAAGAGTTTGAAGTGGGTATCTGACCTTGGAGTAAGCTATAGCAAGCACTAAACAGTCCGTACCGAGAAGGTCATGCGATCAAGGGGCGTGATCATGATGACACTTCCCATCATGTCTCTAGCCGCGGGGGTCATCTACAGGCAAAGAGAACCGCGTCCGTACTCAATCAAAAGGGTTTCATCCGCATTAGCATACCGCAAGGACCAACAGGAGAATCCATTGACGGTTGAAAAGCAAAAGCTATTGGAATGTGCGGCATTAAGAACCTCGAGCTTGTCCGTAAAACCACCAAATATCCCTCCCCAACTGCTCGATAACATTGGTGTTCTCGCTGATAGGGAACCCGCGATGAGAGGTGGGATATGCGCGTCCGAGAGAGCAAATCCCCCTGTCCATGAATTAGTCACAACATCGTGGCAGATTTAGAGAACAAAAACCCTTCCATACACTTGCAGACTGCGTCTGTCGAAAATAACCTTGTCCGGGTCGCCGTCGACATACGCCCGGCCCCGTTGTCTCAGCTCCCTGCCCCAAGTCAACCTCTAGTATTAGCCAAATCCATCACCATCGAACATGAGGAGCAACTGTCAGGCCCGGTAGATTGGGCCTCACATTGTGAGTCTAATTACCTGACAATCCGCAGCACTTCACCCTTGACATGATCCCCTTCCCACGGCTCAAGCCGCCCTTCAAAGAAATTCAGCGGATATCCAGGCAGCCGGGTCATAGCCACGATGTCCAGCTTGCCCCCGGGATACTCAAAATCCGGGCCTTGCACCACCTCACCGCTGCTGCGACTACGATCGAGAATGTGGGGGACGCCGTTCAAATCTTCCGTGGCCTCGAGTGCTTGGAAGTCGTCTTCGATTGCGGTGCGCCCGAGCCGGTTGAAGATGCCCCGGTGTGGGTCTACGGTGGTGAGGATGGGGTGTTGTCTAGATTGCCATGGTGTCTCTCAGGTCAGTTTCTGGATATCTTAAAATACTCAAGAGTTGTCTGTCAGACAGAACAAGGGGGGGGGTTGGAAAGCTGCACTCAATAAAGAATTTGACGACGACGTCGAGGCCGTCACTGATCCTGTTCGTCCAAAACACTGCGCGTCGCAACCTGTGATAGACGTTCATGCTTTCCTCCACGAGACGGGTCAGACCGTACTCGTTGGCGCCGACGATATACACCTTCCCTTCGAGGTGTTGTAGTGTCTCTTCCTCCAGTGAGGGAAAGCCCTTGGGCTCATCGGACGCCGGGTCACTCATCATGGGTATTGTACAATCTTCGTTCGCAGAAGTGTGTCGCTACGGACGAAGAAAAAGAAACCACTGATTGATTATGACGGCAGAAAGGATGGGGTTGGAAAAGGGAAAGAAGATCATTGGGTGTTAGGTGGGGGAGAGACCTTGGGAGGGGGAGGAGGTAGTAGGTGATGTCCGGGTGAGGTGATGGAACCGTGACAAGCCATACGGGTTTGCGGAGCGCATGCTGCGGTACTAGGTACTAGGTAGGTAGTTGAGCCCAATCTCTCCTGCCCTATGTCGCGCATTCAGATGATCCTGGCACTCGAATAGACATACCGGCTCTTCTGCGGGTCCCTGGCGAGTTGTTGGTAACATTGAACACTTCTGTTCGGTTGGGTCGGACTCTAACTATAAAGGGCCGCATTCTTCCACCGAGCTTTAATCAGGAGGCTGTAGAATTCTTGGTAGTTCAATCTAAGGATACCTGTAGCACCTCTTCTCCTATCAACATGCGTTGAACGAGGACAAGCCAGGATACCCACCGCTGCTCGGATGACATGCGCTTCACCTTCGATCCGGGTCATCTTAATAACATTCATAAGTGGCAGCTTACAACAAACAATAACATCTTTTTTGTTTATCAACAACGTTCCAGAAAGAAGGATGAGCCTCAGCAGGCCATCTCATTCAGCAACCAAGTTTCCGGCCTGCAACTATCTTCTCACTAAGATCATCCTAGATTCAACGCCGACAGGCTATCATCCTTGCCGGGCGTAGTCGATGCTTGTGGATGACTCCGGGTTCGGCTCAGTAAAATATTCGCATCCAGAGGCTGTATGTCATTGTGAATTCATACTAGCGGTATGTCTATTCGGACTGGATGTTGCAGGCGCTGTGGAATTTTTGTTTTGTCGATCACGTCTGCACCTTGGCAATGTCTAGCAATGCCCACATGCCGTGCAGTGAAATCCTCGGTTAGTGTCATACTGCTTAGGAGGCGTTAGTTCCTGTCTATCGTGATACCTTTTGGGCATGAGATACCGATATGGATGCCGAGAAGGTCTTATTCCAAAAATAGATCAGACTGGTCTGCCTCATCCTTCTCTCCCTCGTCACGATCGCAGTACTCTTGTTGCTCCTCAGCACTCACATTCTTCCCGGAAGAAGGAAGAATACGGTCTGTGATTTTGCAGGTATCGGATTTAACGAAGAACGGATGGTCGGGACGCAGCCTTCGGCCTTGACAAACATATTCCATCGGCGTATGGGAGATATTCTGGCCCTAACCGGAGGAAACGCTTTGGGACGACGGTATATGGTTTTCCGTAGCTCGAGCATTGAGACGGCATGCTCTATGGGACTTAAGAGCGTCCACAGATGTGCTAGCATTCAACAACAGGCTTGTCTGATTGATGAGAAGATAATCAGGTTAGCTGATCCATGTAAAATCATCTACCCCGGATTAATCCCCTAAGAACTCACCTAACCGCCCGCATTTTGGAAAGCCCATGAGTGGGTGAGAAGTAAAGAAAGGGAGAGATCGGAAGAGTGGAAAAGTGAGTAAGTAAGAGAGTGGACAGAGATAGAAAAGATATGAAGGATTGATCCCAACTGGACGTACAGTAGAAAAGATCTTGTTTTCACTCTTACCATGGGCGATTGACAATGAGATCCATGAGAGTGGTTTTCCTCAAAGCCGGAGGAACGTTGATTCTGACAATAGCGAATTGATTTGTACGTTCAGGATTTTCTTTCTAGGTTTAGTTTACTGGGCGACAGAGTTAAAAAGCAGATATGAGCATGCGGGATTTCGAAAGGCATATCTTAATGTGGTATTTTGAATTGCCGCATCAACGTGGTTTTCGCCGAGCTTGGTGAATAACGCGTGACGTCGGAACCAGAAAGCCTTGTACTCATCCCATCATGTCCCTTTTCAAGCATGGAGAGAGTCGTGGTGAGAAATCTGTGGATGTCGACGGAGGACTGAGGTGGTGCTATAGAGTCCGTTCAATTCATCATCGCGCCTCTTTTGCCTCGTTTAGGTGATTAACCATTCCTCGATCTCAGAATCTATAGCTAATCCGCTATAAACCACAAAGGGACTTAGAGAAAATAGATTCCGAGTGCCTGAAAGTGGATTGTTTCTACTTAGCAAACCAGAGCTGTTCTACATCGCTGGTCCTTCTATTCAAGTAGCCTGATATCTATTGATGGAACTCGGTATCTGGCGTGTTAGGCTAGTGAGTGAATATATTGAGCAACATGCATTCTTCTCATCCCTCTTCTTCCCTTCCTCGAATAAGTTCCAGTGTATTCTGCAGGCTCATTGCGTTTATTTGCAGGTTATTCCAAGTATAGTATGATAGCAATGCTATGCTATCAACCGAATACGAACGGAATTAACCTCCGACCACACCTTGGATATCAATATCCACACACCACCTGGACGGCGTCCTTAAGTTTGTGTCATTCAAGGTTCTGTCATCACGAGGTCTTCTCTAGGCCCGCACCATCTTTCTACAACGTGAGTCATTTCCATTCTGCTTTTCTACATTGTCCCGTCAAGTATCTCTATTCTGCTCTGAATCAGCACACAGTCACTCATTGCCACAACCTCATCCATTTACATCTTTTTCTCCCATAATACCCACCAAAGAATACTTGAAACTTGATCGAAGATTCACTCTCTCACAACAATCTCGGTACCATTTTCCTCAACTCAGAGACATGCCCCCTACGGGTTACTGGACAGCTAAAGGCCGAGCCTTACGACGATGGGCCTCCTCACCCCGAGGAATCTTCGTCATTCTCTTCTCTTTGCATTCCCTCGCTTGGTTAGGAGTTTACATCTGGTTACTTGGCTACCCACCCCAATCAATGTGTCACCCCACCTGCGAGGCCGACAACTCCCCCCGCCAGAAGTGGGTCGAGATTGCCACCCAGGTCCTGTACGCTCACAACTATCTCCCGGGCCTCGCGGTTGCATTCTGTAGATCTCCGGACATGTACCTGTGGGGCCGCTGGCGACTGGGCGGCTCGCTCCGCACGCGCCAGAAAGCGTTCGCCACTCTCGCCTCGATCCACGATTTCTGGTTCAGGCTCGATGACCAAGCCTCCTCCGTTGCCAGAGACTTGGTGGATGTGGATGAGGAGAAGCAGCAGCAGCAGCATCAGCAGGTCGAGAAGGAAGGTGAAGCACTGGTACTAAGGGCATCACCGACTCCGATGTATAAGCTGGATCTAGTGGTCTGGAGCTATATTCTCGGTTCCGTCTTGAATGTGGGCCTCGCGGTCTGCATGTGGGCGCTGAATCGATCGACCCGACCCTACTGGCTCCCAGGCTGTTTGGCACTTCCCGCGGGGGTCGTGATAACAACTGGGGGGGTGATTATTCGGTTAGAGCAGAGGCGAGCGCGTGTTCATGCTTCAAGTCATTGCAACACCAGCACCGATGCTGAAAGCATGGACAGTGAAACGACATATGCTGAACGCACGGACAGTGAATAGACAGATGTTGAAAGCACGGACGGTAAAAGTATCAATGCTAAGACTAGAAATAAGGTGAGTCGGTCCGGCGCGCCCATTGTGATTGCACCTTTGCTTTTGAAGAAAGCTGTAAGCTAAGCAGATTTGGCAGAGACGACTGGCCCGGGCAAAATTTCGGAGGAACGGCATGCCGCAATTGATATTGGTGTCATTTCATGTTACCAGTCGCAGACGCCATTAGGCCTCACCTTGGTTCGGCCTACTTGCTGCCTGCGTTAGCTTCTACTTAGTCTCTCTTGGATAGCTTCCAAGCCGAATTGCTCAATCTTCAATGGGTTGCTTGATTATCTAAGGCTATGCTCGCACAAACTACTTAAGCTCTCTGTATGAATAGTAAAATGATAAGAAGGTCGAGGGTCAGTGGGCACGAGTAGAAGACGCTATCCACCTGTCAACACATCGAACACCGCGCCTTAGTGAAGTTACTCGACGACACAGGGCCCCGAGGTCAAATTCGAAGTAGGTGAATATGTCTGGCTCCGCATCTCAGGATATTTCGCTTATTTCACTCGCAAGAAATGTGAGATGGAGAGTCTGGTCAAAAAGAGGATCGCTGCTCTTGCACGTGGCAGTCGAGTACTATGCGTAGTGCCTGCTCCGCTCAATTGGGCGGTCCCCCCACCACTTGTTTCTCTTATACCATTGTATTGGCTACACACTGGCTTCGTCGCTCACCGTGAAATTGATACTAAAATAGGCAAGTCTGCAACGGCTCCAGCTGGAATTGCAATGCTTTTCAAGACGCTTTCAAAGGCACTTAGATTCGTGAAACTAAAGCTATCACTGCAGGCATTATACAAGGACTCGACGTCACAACATCACGAAGAACTCAATCAAACCTAGCTGATGTCAAAATGACTCAGACACATGGACCTGAACTTGCTGACCCGCTTCACCAAAACCACGGCATTGGTACGCATTCACATAGCCCACAACTTGAGCTAGTAGTCCTCTCGTGTACTCTCCCTTGCCTTGGCATCAACAGCCACCAAGTGCTCGACGGTGTCATCGTCTGCAGGAAGATATCTATCCTGCATCTCACTTCCAACGCACTGAAAATCTGATCATCGGACTTGATCAAGAAGCCGAAGGTCCGCAGAAGTCACTGCGCTGCCAGCCGCATCGTCTTATTCTGGGAGGGTCGTTTCAAAAACCACAGCAGCATTCACAGATGGTTGAGCTCCCCACAGACGGCACGGTTCTCGTCATATCGATCTCATCCGCCGAATAATCGTAGTATTATACCATTCAAGGCTTCATGCTGCCAGTGAACCAAGAACGAGGAGATCTCGGCCCAGTTTCCATAGTAGCCTGTAACCTCGGTCACTTGGACTTATGTGCCGGTTTCTCACATCATAACGAGCTTGCCGATTGTGTGTGACTTGTAATGAATTGTAGTAAATGGCCCTCGGGAGTTGTTCTAAGGTGATATCCTGATACCAAAGGGTCTCGTTTTGAGGTTTTTTCTTCGAAGGGTTCGAGTATACATTCGGTTCGTTAGGAGCAATGAGTGAGGAGCCGAGCGGTAGCATGATGATGACGACTTGAGGCCTATTCTGTGAAAGAGGATTAGCTGGTGAGCAACGTTGGAAGGTGATTTTGTCCTGAACTTCGTAGTCGCCATCCTCACCGCGTCGAAGTCCGAGTTGTAGTTGAGGCTTTTCCGACAAGACAATGCCAGCGCTTGAAGCTTCTTCCCATGCATCACCTCAGCCACCTTCAGAACTGTCAGGAACTGTGCACATCATGGATGTGGCTTTGTTCTCTTTTGTTCTCTTTTTCTCTCTTTTGTTCTTTTTTTCTCTCTTTTGTTCTTTTTTTCTCTTCTTTTTCTTTTGTTCTTTCTTCTTTTTTTTTTTTTGTTTTTTTGGTCCCTAGCTAAGCAAAAATATCAGTAAGAATATTATTTTTTTTGGGGTTTTCTTTTTTCAATTTTTTTTTGTTTTTCATGCCTCAGCACCCTGGGCATCCTGCTCGGGACCCGGGTCCGGGGGAGGAGGACCCCCCTCCGTCTGCTCCTCCAACTGATCCACCACCACCTGCAGCTCATACCCTTGGTCCGGCTCCCCCGGTCCCGGGTCCCTCATCCTCGCCTCTCTCCGCTTGTAGAGACAAGACGGGCAATTGAGTGCCTTCGAGATGGCGACTATGAGGGCGAGGAAGCTGAGCAGGATGCCCAGGAGGCTGGTGATAACTGGGAGGAGAATATACCACTGCATTTGCTAATTCTTGATATTAAAAACTAAACTAAACGTATATTAAAATAAAATAATATAGGTTCAGTGGGAAGAAGAGAGAAAAAGAGAAAAAGAGAAAGAAGACAAAGTCCTATAGTATTATACTACAACCTAGTGCTGCAATGGCCTCCCAATCTACAATGGAAGGTGCGTCTAGAATGGAAAGAGCCAACACCATCCCACGACCTCTCCAAATGACGCTTGCTTCTGATCTACATCTATAGCTTCGAAGGCTCGAAAGCCAGTTTCTCAGACTTCCCAGCCCATGTGCACACCGCCCTGACTGATCTCTTGAGCGAGTCACACCTGATCTACACTCGAGTCTATCCTCGATACAAATCTCGCGGCGAGCTACGCACGGCCGTTGAGAATTTCAGTGAATGGTAGGTGAATACCTTTGACAGGAGGACAAAGCACAGAGTGGCAGTACGCCGACAAAACACTCCAACTAATTACTCCCTATCTTCCAGGTTGTCACCACACGTAGCTGATGATCTCGACGTGATCCTACTGGGCCATAGCCTCGGGGGCATTCTCGCAGCCGATGTTGCGCTCCTACCCAGCCCTTTCCCCTCACAATCCTCACATCGCATTCTCGGGCTGGTCAACTTTGACGTTCCATTCCTAGGGCTTCATCCACATGTGATTCCGACAGGGCTTCGCGGGCTGTGGCAGCCTAAACAACCAGACACAGCGGCAGCCGAAACTGGCCAGCAAGATGCTACCCTGAGCGATATCGATCTATGTGCCGCAACGGCCGCCGCATCAGCGGGGCCGCGATTTGACCCGCCATTCGCCAATGACGTGCATCTTGCGGAGCGAGATCGTATCGATGGCATGCTTCACTTCGTCCACAAAAACCATCACGATCTGCCACGGTCGATCTACAAGCGCTTGGTGTCCTCATATCGATTCGCTGGCTGCTTGAACAACTATAGGCAATTGCGTCGACGGTATCGCCAGTTGATGGCGTTGGAAATGGAGGAGAGCCCGCGTCGAGTTCGCTGGATCAATTATTACACCCACAGCACAGCAACCACCAGAACAAGCCCCCGGGGAAGTTTGAAACACAAGGATCACGCACAGACTGAGCCGGCTGAAACAAATTCAAAGACAGCCGTGATGCAGACGTGGAGTATACTCTCGGAAGAGCAATCGCTGGTAGTGCCCGCAGACAATCTGGAACTCAACACATCTTCCTCCAGTCTGGCAGAATCGGAGGATCATGATGACGTGGAGGATGGATGGGTGCCCTCGACGAAGGAAAGTAGTATGGCTGCCTCCGACGACTCCCAACATTACTCTAGAAAATACTCACATTCAACGTAACAACGTTACCCCGGCTAGGAAGGAGAGATGTAGCGGCAAGCCACGCAAATTCGTACTTTTGCCGTCACACCATTGGAAGCACGGAGACGATTCACTCTGGATCCCGGTGCCGATGGAGCATATGGATGAAGTAACGGCACACCAGTCAATGTTTTTATCCAACAGCGGACAATATGATCGGCTGGTTGGTGAAGTTGTATCGCAGGTTCAAAGTTGGATCCAGGATGATCTTAGTGAGAGGGCAGTTGCAGACCGGAAACCTGGATGCTGAATGAGACCAACAGCAGGGGGTCATCCTTCTCCTTGGACATCGCCAATGGATTACGGACGCGCCTTATAAAGCAAATTGAACATTGGGATTAGTTAATGGCTAAGAACCGAGTAATCCAAGTCGTGCCCCACTGAGGAGTATCTTCGCACGCGGACCTATCTAAGAGAAACTCCTTCGATGATAGAAAACTACAACTAACACGAAAGATATTGCAGTGTGAGATCAGAACCTTTACTTGAAGAACAGGAAGGAGCCATAAGAAGACGCTGGGTCTCACCGCTTCCATCGATAACCCAAGGCGGCGCGGGGCCGATCAACACCTTCTAGAGTACCGAGTACCTAACAGTACTCGACTTCCACCTGCGAGAGCAGCAAACCTCTTTTTGACCAGGCTTTTCTCCCATCTCGGATTTCTTGCGAGCGAAGTGCTCCGAGATATGGAGGTAAATGTATTCACCTACTCCAAGTTCAACCTCGAGGCTCTGTGCCGTCGAGCAAGTGCACTACGGCACGGTGGTGTACCATGTGTTTGCACTCCGGATCAACGTCCTGCCTCGGGAAGCTTCAACTGGGCTATCTTCATTGTATTTACAGATGGAATACGATGGGTCCTGCGATCTCCACACCCCAGACCATTTATGCCACTGGAAATGGCAATGAAGTTACTGGCCAGTGAAGCTGCCACGCTCCGATACCTGAGGGCTCATAGCGACATTCCAGTCCCAGTAGTGTACGACTACTGGTAAGAGACCCTCTCAGACACAAAATGTTAATGTGCTAATCTGTAGTAGCGCTTCTTCCGACAACGATATCGGTATCCCATTTATTCTCATGAGCGAAGCGCCGGGGTGGCCACTCTCGAAAGCCTGGAAACCGGCTGGTTCTCCTCAGCGTGACCTAGACACATCCATCAAGGCAAGAATTACACAGCTGGGCCGCATTACCTGGAAGCTCTCCCACTTGCGCTTTGAGGAAATTGGCTCACTCTTCGAAGAAGAGGAGTCCTTCCAACCCAAGGAATGCCTCTCACGTGGTCACATATTACATGAACGATACGATCTGGAGACCTCACGTGGACCTTTCACTTCTGAGGCAGAGTTCTGGGACAGCCTTATTTCTGCGTTCGTGGGGCACGCAGAGGCTCTGCCGTTATCGCACCATTGCTTCGTGGCACCTGTTCCCTCGCCCGAAGATTACCAAGCCGGCATGCAATACAAGAGCGCCGTGAGCCTATGGAACGACTTCGTGACTGTTGGAGGTAAAATCGACTCGTCACGAACAGACTGGATTACATCATTGTGGGCAACGCGCTCCGCGACATTTTACACAGTGGTCAACTTCCAGCCATCGTTCCGGAGACATTTCCCTTGTGCCACGCTGATCTGAGTGTCAACAATATATACGTTGATGACGACTATAATATCACGTGCATAATTGACTGGGCATTCTCTTCATCCGTCCCCGAATCCATGTTGTTAGCCGCCCCAGGACTGCCGCAGTACCGCGACGAAATCAGTTCAGAATTACATACCCCCTTTATACATGGTTTTGTCGCTGCCATGCCCGACTCCGCCGACAAGAGCTTGATCCACAGATATCGCGAATCACTTTATCAGGCCCACGTTGCCTGGAGATTGAGTCGCCTTCTCAGCCTTGACTCTATTGCCGACTACGACCTTTTCGCGACCGTGTGGCACTTTACACGTGGTCCCGAGGCCGATCTGGCACAATATATTTTACAACAGCGGTATTCGCCTCGATACGTCCAGCTTTATAAAGAACTTCAAAAAGAGGACCAGCAACCCTCAAAGATTGAGAAAGATGAAAAGAACTACTTTCACGACAAGGATCTCAGATATACAGTTGCAAAGAAGCTGACGATTATGCCAGAATGGAAAACTCAATATACCGCAGACGATCCGCCAACACGGCTTCGTAAAGACATGTTTGTCGCCGGCCCCAAGCTGTGGAAATGGATCCTACAGTTTATGCGAGACTGGGAAGACATGCGATGACTGGTCGTTTATGCAAGAAAGGAACCGCCTGAGGATTTCCGATGGCGATACTGTTAATGCGAGCGAGGCCGTTCATGCGAGCCAGGCCTCGCAGTTGCGAATAACGGCAGAGAAAGCTTTCGTGATCAGGGCTAGTTGAGCAGCCGGTCAGCGTGCTTGGAAGCCTGTGAAATCCACATATCAGCGCAGCTAATCACTCGTCCCTCGATGGCCTATCCCTAGTAGGGCTCAGCACATACTGGGCTCGGTGCGTTGCGATGGATGCTCTTGGCACTGTTTTCACGATGGCCTCGCTTTCTCCCGACTACTTTCATGAATGAGCTACTCGGTTCAGTGCGTTATGATTGTAGTTTTTCGCCACTGCCGTCGATCTACCGCCTTTTCTCCCTTGTACTGCTTCATATCCATGAATGATCTGAACTCGAGAACTGGTTGTGCACTTACGTGCCCCGAGGATGTTTGTCAACGTGGTCCGATTAAGGCTAAGGGGGGATCTCGTACATGGCAGGAATCGATCTGTATAACTCGTGATTAGTCAAAATGTGGACAGAAGCTCAAGGGTTCATTGCCTTTCATGATGGAAACGGTCAAACACTTGTAACCGACCTGCAAGGTGACCGTGACCTGCCGCCACTCGGCCTATCGCTGACATACGTGTGTAGGAATCAATCAATCAATCAATCCGAGGCTCATCAGCGAACAACACTCAGAGGATGAGATTCAACCAGCAGATATGAAATTATTAAATCAAGACTTCACTGACAATCATAACGGACCTCACTGAGTATGTGCTTCGCAATCACGATGTGTTGAGGTAGGGTTTCAATCGAATGCGCTCAACCCTGGTTCTTTTTTTTTGTTTTTGTTTTTTTGATAACTTATAGTTTACTCGTGAGAAGACTGATATCATTCATGTACCGAAGTAGAATTTTCGTTGCGCATGGCATCATCTATCTATCTCATCAATTAGACATTAAGCTGGGACTAATCCCCGGCGATCCTATAAGTAGAGGGGGAAATAGATCAGACAAATAGAGAAAATGAGAGAGGAATGAAAAGAGATGAAGTAAAAGGGCAATGCAAGCAGAGGAAAGAGAACAACCCCGGAGGACTTTTAAGAATATTCAATCTTCCGCATTCACTTGGCGCCGAAGTCCCATGATTGGTATACCTTCAAAAAGTTTACGCCTGGCAGAAACGCTGGTACGAGGCGCGGGGTCCTCTGGGGACGACACCACGATCACCACTGATGATGACATGTTTTTTTAAACTCTTCGGAGGATTGCCTTGGAGGAGAAGGTATAGGTTGAGGGTTAGATGGAGGCTCGATCGATTGATCTGGTGCCGGTGATAGAGTGCTTGGTTGGGGGTTAGACGACTCGCTTGGGGTGGAAGGCATGATTCGAGGGGCAGATCGAAGCTCACTCGTCTGCTCTGAAGAGGATGGTGGAGCTGCTGCTGGGGACGAGTTAGAGGGCTCGACATGGGCCGAGGAGTAGACGAAGGTGCGATTGTGAGAGAATAATTCGAAGCCTGCCTTGGAGCAGACAAACTTTCAGAAATAGATGCTTGCTCTGGAGGCGGCGATGACACGATTGGTGGAGAAGGAGGCGAGAGATCTCTTGCGGTATATGTAGAAGTAGACAGAGACATGGTCCTTTGCTCTCGAGGTAGCAATGGAGGGGTTACTGGGGACGAGTCCGAGGACTCGCCTGAAGATGTTATTGGCTCAAGGGCAGTCGAAGGCGAAGTCGTCCGCTCGGGAAGCGAAGTTGAAACAACTGCCGACAAGCAGTCAGATTTCTCCTCTACAAAGGACATAGGTCGAGTAGACGGAGGCTCAATTGTCTGCTCTGGAGGAGGGAATGAAGCGGTTGCTGGGAACAGGCCTGAGGAATCCCCCGGAGGAGAAGGTGATTGAGAGGTGGACGGAGGTGTATCCTTCTGCTCTACAGGCTCTGATGGAGAATGGTGGTCGTGTCGAGTCGTACTACCCCGAAATGATTCGGCTGATGCTTGTGATCCCCGACAGGAAGCAGGAGGCGAAGGTGGCGGAATAGAAGATTCAAAAGCTGGGAGCTTTGGTGGCTTGGGTGGGGCAGGTCTCGCTGGTGCCGGTCTTGCCCAAGTCAGAGCCTCATCCCTGATAAACGTTAGAATCGGCCGTGGTGGCAGAGGAGGGGCTGGTTCTTCATCCTTGGAGGACGGGCGTGGTGGCGGCGAGCTAATCGCCTCTTGCGTCTGTGATCGTATACAAAAGTTCCTTGGTGCACACGGCGGCAGCCAGTGACGCGTAGGCATGCTAGCCATCGCACTCGTGACCGTCACAGTAGTCAGAGATCCCGCACACCTTGAGGCAGGAGACAGTTTCCATTATGGCTCGTGCTTCCGTTTCATAGCAGAGAATCCCGAGCAAACTGGCATATTCATCGCGGCGACTGGCGTCTTTCATGGCACTGTCCGCCGAGCCAACCGCTCCCTGGTGCACTTTGACTGAGTCCCCTCTATTTCGAGATTTGCAGGGACAGATGGAGCCCAGGGCTTGGACCTTGGCGCTCAAGCAATCACAAGACTGTCGCATGTGCCTCGCTGAGCAAGCAGAGACGTCAGTGGGTGAATTTCATCGAGCAATTTTGCCGGTTACCAAATCTTCCCCCTCCTTGCCGATCCTCTGGGGAAGATAGTCTCGTAGATGCAGCCCCTCTAGACATTGAAGTACAAGGCGAATAAGCTATGTTGAAAAAACTGACGACCTCCACGGACCTACGCTTTTCCCTTATCAGCCGCAGAAAGAAAATAACGATCGCATGACTGCTAGATCATCAAGGACGACTGACTTGATGAGTGAATGTACTCAGGGGAGAGAACGAGCCAGCACTGCCCCAAGAGGATCGGTGAATGTCTGTCTAGATCAGTGACCACGGACACATAGCGGCGATGCTGGTGGGAGAGACTCTTCTCAAGATTGAATCCAAGCTCGCTAAGCAAAGTGACTGGATTCTTTCTGGGCATGGGAAAGGATGCGGGTGAATCAAAGATAAGATCTCGGAATGGCCGTAATTGGCCTTTTTGATTGGCATGCAGATACCATCGAGAGAAGGCAATAGGAAATAAGGTACTAGTGATTGGACTCAGTCAGCCAGATTGTTTGCTTTTCAGGTGGTCACGGCTCCAGGGGGCTGTCCTGGTGTCTTTCCTTTTAGAGAGAGAGATAAACCCGTCAATGCCCGATGAGGACCTCGGCCCAAGTCCCCCAGAATAGGTTAGTGTCAACACCGTGGCACTTTCAACCATTTCTTTGACTGGCAACGGAGGATTTTAAGGTGCCATTAAGCTCACTGGGGGCACCTCAGTCCCTTGAACGCGGTCCTTGAGCTGCACAACACCAAGATTCTGTCTGGAGTCCAGACACCACAGTCGATATTTCAAGCAGAGTACTTCCACTTCCTGGTACATCGCCTTGCACTTTCTCGATACTAAGATGCAACTCCATCATTCTTGTCCATCTTTGAGCGTCTTAGCGAGATCTTTAGCCCCTGATTGTCCATGGGAGCTCACCGCCTCAGCCATTGTGTTGACAAGGGGCCGTTCATCCCAAATAGCCTCCAGGCTACAATCCACCATCTTCACGCTCCGAGAAGAATTCCTTATCGATTTGGCGGGGAGGGAAAGGGCTGGAGGGGTTGCCCATCTCGAGGGTTCTAGTTGGTGACGGTGGGGTTTCTGAATTTAAACTGTCCATTCCCGCCGTACATTCGTACACTCGTATACTCGTATGTTCGCTCATTCGCATACCCGCATACTGGTCGCCTCCACCTCACAAATAATTCCACCCCAAACATAACGCAAAACACATTCAGTTCCTATTCTTGAGACCTAATCTACTTACATACCACGAGATCAAGATTAGGGATCTGAACCCAAGATAATCGAGCTATATCCTAAAAGGAAATTTGACTCGTAAGTAGGTATATCGTAAGCCGGTCTTCTTCCATAGGTCTAACAAAACTGGATTGCCTGAAATACTAGGCACCTTTTAGATAAGGCCTTCTAATTGAATCAGGAATTATGCATATATCTATGCGAACAACGACTGAAAGTAAGACTCTCAGCCAAAACCGCTATGGTTGGATATGTTATTCTACCACAAAGTTCGGAAAATATGGAATGTGTAAGTGTTCTTTCTTATTATTCTTGAGGTGGAATTATTCCCAAATTGAAAAGAACCGACCCATGGGCTGACGATGGCAATGAGTATCCGTACGTTCGTACGCTCGTATATTCGTATCTTCGTAAATCTAGGCTTTATAGGGTTCGGATCCTCGCCGGAAACTCAGTTTTGCGCCCCACTTCCTCTCAGGTACTGTACACAGGCGCCATGGTCCTACGAGAATAAGAGCAAGATCTATTTTCATTGCTCGTGGTACCATATCATGCTCAATTCGCCACGAGGAGAAGAAAAGTCCTCCACATGTTCTCATTTAAAATGGCTTCTCAACCTCCAGCCCTGCAAATGGGCCAGAATCCTTTTTGACTGCAGCACCAGAGAAATAGATGAAGGGTGACACTATACTATTCATACACCTTGCATATAAACGTACCATCACCACGGACTGTCTTGTATTCTACACCCATGGCCGACCCAGATACAGACCAAAATGCTTCAGGTTTCGTCCTGTACCGCTACACGCCCTCGATTGCGGCAGCCGTGGTCTTCACTGGGGTGTTCTGCGCGCTTGCCCTTTTCTTCATCTATCGCATAGTCAGGCACCGGACACTTTTTTTCATTCCCTTCTTGGTTGGACTGATCTGTACGACCACCCCTCCTTGATTCCTAGAAAAGAGGTAAACTGACTGGACCTGCTGGGGTATTAGTCGAGGCCGCCGGCTACATCGCGCGGATCTTCTCGCACTTCGACACCCAAGCCCTGGGGCCCTACATCACGCAAACGATGCTCATCCTCGTCGCGCCGCCTCTCTTCGCCGCCTCCATCTACATGACCTTGGGCCGCCTCATCACCCAACTCCACGCCGAATCCGCCTCCCTCATCCGCGTCCGGTGGCTGACCAAGATCTTCGTCGTGGGCGACGTCATCTCCTTCCTCTTGCAATGCGGAGGCGGCGGATACATGTCCGCCGGTAGCGACTCCGCCATGCTCGCCGGCGAACACATCGTCGTCGCCGGCCTCGCGATCCAGCTCCTCTTCTTCGGATTCTTCGTCCTGGTAGCCTCTCTCTTCCACTGGAGGTGGGGCTACGCAGTTTCCCAGTCCACCACCACCACCATCAAATCCCAAAGCGGCCGGCTCTCGTGGCGGGGGCTAATGTGGGCGCTGTACGCGGCGTGTACCTTCATTCTTGTTCGGTCAATATTCCGAATGGTTGAGTTCGTGCAAGGCAACGACGGGTGGATCATGCACCGCGAGTATCTGCTGTATATATTCGATGCGTTGCTCATGGCGTGGACGGCGATGGTGTTGGGGTTTGTGTTCCCGGGATCGTTCTTGGAGGGGCGGAAACGCAGTGCGGAGAGGGCTGATTCTGTTTAATATCTTATTTGTCAAATGGATACTTTTTCTTGCTTTCATCGCCTTTAGCATTTCGTCTCGTTGCTTTTTGTCCTTTTTTCTCCTTTGTGTAGGTGCGGCGGGGGAGGAGTTAATTTGCTGATAGCGCGCTGAAATTGATCTATATTCTCACTTTGGGGCTTGATTTCCTTGGAACGTTTGCCTCTTTACTCTTTCTCAACATAGAGAGCACAATCGGAATAAACCTGCCATAAAAATAGGAAATTCTCGTCTGGGTTCATTCTATTAAGGCTTTCATTCTACCGAGGCTGGCTAGTGTGAATAGTGGCCGAGAACGAGCTAGACAAGATTAATGGGGGGGAATGATCTCATGGATTGCATTATGAAAAAAGCCCAATCACTTGTGGGGTCTAGTAAATTGCACGGTTTCGTATATTCGTACAAAAGAAGTTTACCATCGGAACCGGAAGGTCACAACCAGTCGCGAAACTTTGGTTCCGCATGTGTGGGGAACCAGGGGCCATGGAGGAAGAAAAGGTTATTCGGGTGCCACCCAAGCGAATTTTGGCCCCACAGAAGCCTGCAGGTTTTGAGTATCCCGGAAGAGGAACGGAGGGTATATGGTAATGTATGCGAATTAGGGACGGGATTACGAAATGTACGAAATTTGCCTTCCTACCAGGGACAGGGAGGGAAAAGAGGACTAGAGAGAGAAGAGGAAAAATCCCGACAGGGGAGAAGAAAAGGTCAAAAGTGTGAGTGAGCTAACAGATTTCCTTTCATCGGGACTCCGCAATGACGGCCATGGGCCACGTCAATAGACCACTTAATGCCTCGTTCTCTAGTCGGCTCACCAGCCGGATGATCTTCTGAATCTCCGAGCGAAAGCCGCTGTTTAGATACCACACATCCTGAAATAGGATTGAGACAAGGTAGAAATGGGCTAGGATCGTGTACGAAAACCCCTCCGCGGCCCCCAGGTGGTCGACAGCGGAACTCTGGAGGCTGTCAAAGAAGCGAGCCGAAAGCATACAGGGCCAGGACATCACGGCGCTGTCTTCGATGTCGTTTTGAATGTCGAGGGAGGCGGGGGTGTCACGCTCGCTTCGCGAAAATTGCAGGGCGTAGAGGATGCGCATGTAAATCTCTTCTAGTCTGTCGATGGTGTGGAGGTGGTCGTGTTGTGGATAATCGTCTTGTTCGTGGTCGTGCCGTGGACTGTCATCCGCTACTCTGCTGGGTGGTGGCTGGTCGTCGTTATCGGACTGCTCAGGTCTGCCGAAGCTATCCCGATCAATGGAAGTTGTGGTTTCTTGATTTGGGGACAGCGTCCCTGCAAAGGTACGTAGCATATGAAGTGCTTGGCAGGCACCTTGGGCAAACACGTGGAAGACTTTCGGGGCATACCTCAAGTGGGGAAACTGCGATGAGGAGATAGCCGGTACAGCCGCCTTCCAATCGTCGTTTGCGTGCGTGTATAACAACATGGTCCGCAGTCGTCCGCGCTTGAGAGTGAGCCAGTGTCCCTCAGCTATGCTTGTCAGGCCGCGGACCAGATGCAGCCAGTCGATGTACGGGCTCTGGTCATCGTCGGGTTGACTAAAACCCAGCCCGGCGGTGTAATCTTGATTCCTGGCAGATATCGAAGCAAAGGCAACAGCGACAATGAGTAGCGCGCCGCAGAAGGCATACTCTGCGGTGGCGGTAGAGATATCTGTCAAGGCCCGGCGGAACCCTTCGAGGCCCTTTTGATGATGCTGAATGGCACGGTGGTACTCAAGCTGAAGCTCGTGTTGGCTGCAGGCGGCCAAGGAAGACTGACTCTCGTCCATGCCTAAGGCGGTTGATTCCGCCATGTGGGCTTGATATAGGATATGCTCGCCCGAGAGAGCGAGGAGTAGATGCATCAGATACTCCTTTTTGGTCGCTATATCTGGTATCACCTGCTCCCAGATATATTTGCGTGCCGCACTGTGGGTCATCTCCTTTGAAGTGTGCATCATGAACCTTGAAAGGAGTCGTAAGTCCGCTAGATTGATATTTTGGTCGAGTAAAGGAAATTCTGTGAACAGTCCTTGGTGACGAAATTCCAATGGTTGCAAAGAATCTGCTGCGGAGCATGAGCGTCGAGAAGACCTGGATGGGGCAGAACTAGGCTTCACGTGTTAGTTTTCATCTAAGATTATGACAGCAGTCGGATATACGCATACTTGGATGGTGCTGATACAGGATATGAACAGGATTCACCGCGAAAAGCGCATGCGCCACAGATAGGCTGCACCTCGTCGCACTGAGCCGAATAGTTAGTGCATCCATTCATAAATTGTCGTAGATGACTGTTGCTGACTTTGACTCTCCGTTGCTTACAGATGAAGCACCCCTTGCGGGATTTATGGTGTCGGACGCGACGCCTCCTTTCCTTGGATAAACGCGAGCTACTATCCTGGTCCCGTACGGTTCCAGGCTCTCTTGGTGATGATGTGCCGGACATACTATCCGTAGAGTACGCAGAGTCCGATGAGTTGTTTGAAGGCGATGCTAATGAGCTTGACGCTGATGCTGAGTTTGTCAGGAGGTTGGATCTTGTTTCTGCCATTTGGAAATTACGGAGGGCCAAGAGGTCCAGAGCCGCACATATACTGCCTGTTGACGCTGGGGTTGGCGACGGTGTTGGCGAGACGAGAAAGAAGAACATCATCCCTTTGATCTCACATATACTGAAGGTTGCTTGTTAGGGGATAGGTGACCCCATATGATAAATCAAAAGGCGACAAAAACACTTTCATCGGTGGCAGGTGCGTGGTACAGCGACGGGCGGAAGTCATTATGTACGGAATCAATCTTGGAGGAGGGATACTCTCGTGGCGACAAATTCGGCATCACCGGACTAACCTACCTATCCTGTATCTATTCATCGGGTATCTCGTTGAACATTCGCATTCGGTTTCGTGGCTGGGCTGGGCGACGAGAGACCTGCGGGCGGCGACATATGGCGATACGAATATACGAGGTGGAAACAATTGCAGCCCTAGTGATTTTCACGTCCAGCATGACAACCGATTCTTAAATCATCCAAGCTTACATATATACCTGGTTCGTGAGATCCTTTCCATTCTTATGACTCCTCTTACTTCTTCTTGCCATCTACCTATCTGCCTAATTACTGAAATGAACAGCAACAGCAGCAGCAGTGGCGGCAGCGATAACAGCACCAATGCTGCCGCAGTGTTCGCATTCTATCGATATGACCCCAGCATGGCTGGTGCAGTCATCTTCACATTACTCTTCGCAATTACAACGATATGGCATATTGTCCAGCTATGGCGGACACAAACATGGTTCTTTATTCCATTTGTGGTAGGGGGCATCTGTCAGTAAATTCTCACCGCCATTAATCTTACACCCACAACAAAATGCTTACTTGGTACTCCCACCAGTCGAAATCATAGGCTACATTGGCCGAGGACTTTCAAGTCACGAATCGCCCAACTGGACTCTGGGCCCCTACCTCCTTCAGACCTTATTCCTCCTCCTGGCTCCTGCCCTTCTAGCCGCCTCGATCTACATGCTCCTCGGCCGGATCATCCTGATCCTGGGCGCAGAATCCCACGCCATCCTCCGCAAAAAGTGGCTAACCAAGGTCTTCGTCACCGGAGACGTCCTCTCATTCTTTCTTCAGGGCGCGGGTGAGTTCAGACATCCAATCTCCCCCCTCCCCTCAACCCCTCTTTCCCCCGAGACAGTCCTGACACCCCGCAAAGGAGGCGGAATCCAAGCCAGCGGCAGCCTTTCCGGCATGCAAACCGGCGAACACATCATCGTCGTCGGGCTCCTCGTGCAGATCTTCTTCTTCGGCTTTTTTATGGTCACAGCCGGCGCGTTCGACCGTAAGCTGAAGAAATATCCCATCCCGCGGTGTCGCGATCCGTCCGTCCCCTGGCGCAAGCATCTCAACATCCTCTACCTCACCAGCTTCCTCATCATGGTGCGGTCTGTCTTCCGGTTGGTCGAATACCTGCAGGGTAACGATGGGTATTTGTTGCATCATGAGGTCTTCCTGTATATCTTCGATGCGGTGCTGATTTTCTCGGCGATGGCGGTGTTTAATTTCTTTCATCCGAGTGAGATTACCCATTTGTTGCATGGTGGGGGGGATTATGAGTTGCAAGGTGCGGGTGATAAGTATGGTGTGTGAGGTGGTTTGGTTTGGGTAGGTGGAGTGGTTCGTGTTGCTTGCATTCTGTATCCTCATTGGGATGAAGGATGGGCTGTTAGAGGATAGAGGTTGATCGAACGATTTGGTGGCCAAATGCTGTTGTGATATACTATATACACTCTATGTCTGATTTGTATATATTCAACCCCGTTTTGGACGGTGACTACTAAGCTACAACGCCGTTGATAGATTCCAAGATGAAGATTTTTGTTCCTTTTTGTTTCCTTTCTTCCTTTTTTTTCTTCCAAAGTTCAGATGCCATTCCACTGCGGATCATGTTCCAAGCTGCTTGGATACTAGAAGGCACCGAAGGAAGCAACCAGGGCCGTATGTTCATGAAGATTGAGCCCTTATATGTAGCAATGTTGTCACGGGAGGAGGCAAGGTTGCTGAAATCATTGAAACAATAATGCAACTTTAGCTTAGCTTGCAAACAGGGCGCTTGAATAGTTAATAGTGCCACATAACATTCCGATCATTGAAACTGCAGGAACGCAGACGTGATCCGATGCTGGAAATCGTGAGCCTCTGATAAAGCTGTGTTAGTAAACCTCCCATGTGAACAAAACAGCTACAAATAGAGGTCTGTACCTGATAGTCAGGACCAGTACACTATAAGAACTGCAAACTACTTCGAGTATGATATGTCTATGTGCTATCAACACATAAAACAACTCCTGCAGGAGATCATAAATTCCACTATGCGTGAGTCAAACATGATCAAGATTGGTAATAACAAATCCGTCTTTCAACTCCATAATACGCCCGCTGAAATATTCGCAAGCAAGAGAAAGCGATCTTTTATTGAAGAAGCAACACCGAAAACGCTCCATCTTCAGCATCAGCATCAGTTGTCATCCCACATCAGCCACAGGCAGATAATCGCCATGCAGACCATGATGCAACCCAGCACCCACAGGGATGCCGTCACCACTTCCGCGGAGCCGGAATTTGCCGCCCCCTTGTGAGTAGGGGAGTGAGTGCCGGTCAGAGTAGTAAGGTCAGGACTCTCATCAGTGACGGTGGTCTTTGATGCTTTGGCAGTGAAGGTCACAACCACCGTGACGCGGCTAGCGGTGCCGGTTTCCTGAGGAGAGAAGGTCGCGGGGACCACGGAGCCTTTGTACATGTAAATTGTCGAGGTGGAGGTAGAAAGGTGACGGGTGGAAGTTGGAGAGGGTGATTCTTCGGGGGTCGTGAGTGCAGCGAGCTCGTGGAGACTCACGGGGGTTGGGTTGGACCAGTCGGTGGATGGGGATTCGGTGCGTGCGTTAGAGCAGGGGTAGTCTCGTTTGAACTGAGTAGGACTGGGGTTGGAGGTAGCAGTAGGGACTTCCAAGGTCGTGCTCAGTGCGATGACTGTAATGGTAGTATAGGCAGTCGAAGTACGTGTGAGTCGTGGCACGGAAGTTGAGGGCCAGTCATTCTGGGAAGAGGTGGACGGTCCGTAGACGACAGCAGTGCTACTAACACTGGCAGCTTCTCCTTGTCCGTTCTGTTCGGCGTCCTCACAGAGGAGAGTCTCCGGAACGGCAACAGGCAGGACGGGGCTGGAAAGGACGTAGCCAGTGCCGTTGAAGGCGCAGAGAGCGTCGCCGGCTGAGATAGAGGTTTCGTGACCTTTCAGAGAATTAGTTTGCTAGTCTAGAGAAAGCAAGAGCAGTATAAGCTGGGTGAAGGTGCAGATAGACTTACAGGTCGCAGCTTGCTTGTACTCATCCGGAAGCACTTTAGACAGGCTAGTCGCGCTTGCAGTAAGCTTTTAGTGCCTTCTGAATCCAGGAACAAGGAAGAACTTACAGGATGTTACAGGTATGAATCTCGACAGACACATTCGAAGCACAGCTGATAAGAGTTGGCCCCTTTAGCGAGCCGTGAAGGCAGTAACTTCCACCATTCTGGGGGCAGAGAACGATGTTGGTATCGGGGTCACTACAAAAGGTGCGACCGCATCAGCTCATTTCAGGCTCTTACTGAGGATGACTTACTAGAGTATCTGTGCTGCGGTGCTCAGCAGAAAGGAAAGAAAGATTGTGACCGTCAGGGTCCAGAAGGAACGCATGGTAAGTAACAGGATTTAATGTTCTTTGTAGACTTGCTTTTTGAATCAGATCGATAAAGCTGGAAGGATGCGGAACGGTGATCAGGGATGAAGAGAAGAGAAAGAAGAACAAGGAGGATTCAACACACAGCAAAGTAGATATACACTCTAGCGCGTTTCCTCACTGATACCTAGGAACGCGTCACTTCAAAGTCGCGTCTGGAACACCATGGAGGTTGTTCTATACTTTTTCACCCTCTCGTCAATAGAAAGAAAAGTAACTTGCTGTTCCTGCATTGAGTAACTTTCTACCTGATGTGGTGCCACAATGAATTCATCTAATATTGGTCTATATAGTAGGGTTTGTAGATCACATCCGTGCCAAGCATGAGGCTATACTTGTCTGAACCCTTAGAGCTGAAGCATATGGTCTAAGCTTCCAATTACAGTTCCTATGAGATATAATGCAGAATGCCAAATGAGTGTAGGGGTCTTGTTTACTGCTTTTCTGGGTTGAAATGGCAATTTTAAATGCAACAGGCTCGTCAAGTTCAGAAGTGCTTTCTATGCCAATTCCCAGTCATGTGACGGCCGGACGAGGCTGTGGCTGCCTTGTTCTTATTGGAAGCTTTACGATGCCTACGCACCGCCGAGGCACCTGACTGAAAACATGGTGTCTTATCGCCTCGACTTGTTCTCTGCTTGATTCATTTCTCTGTTCTTTCTAGGATTTTAGCCTTCTCCTGTGAGTTTACTGCATTCAAATCGATACGCAACCGCCAATAATCAGATTTTGTTTCATGAAACCTGCCTATTTTATTTGGAGCCTTTTTTCGTCCTGGAGATGTTGACAAGTTTGCCTTCTTCCTGGTCATATGTCCTTACCAACTCTTGACTTCAAGGCTCGACGGCGGAGCCTGGTGGAACGGGTCAACGAAGAGCTTCGTCAGCACTTCATGCAGGGAGATGAACCCTCCAAGCGCTTTATCTGTCGCCAGGCCCTGCTGGAAATATGGCAAGACGAGACGCGGCTGCATACCTTGCTTGGTCCCGATCCAATTTCATCCCAAGACATACGTCGGGTACAGCGTGAATGCGTCGCCGTATTATCCATCCTTACTTATATCAGAGCAATCAAAACCATTGCACGGTTTCACGCCATCCTTGATACTGACGAGCTTAACGATACAAACCTCCCATTGCAAGATGGGGAGATACGAAAGCTCTTATCGCTTGAACCGGAGCTGTTCTTTCTATTCAATGACTACCAATGGGCATTCTGTCCGGCCGAGATACACTGCGATCGAGACCCACCATTGCAACTGATCGATGCGCGTCGTCGTCTTCCCTTCCTATCCTCACCGAAATTGATTGGGTCCGGCGGCTTCGGGGTAGTAGAGCTTGTGAAAATCGCCCCACGTTACCTAAAATTAAGTCGAGGAGCTGATTTCGAGTATCCTTTCAAAGTTGCTTGCAAACGATTCGAAGGCGTCAGGAAGCTACAGGACTTCGAAACTGAATTGGCAAACCTACAAAATCTCAAGAGTAGCCTCACAAACCAGGCTCACATCTTGCAGCATCTCACCACCATTTCACATGGGCTGCAGTACTATATTCTCTTTCCGTACGCAGAGCTAGGTGACTTGGACCAATTTCTCTTAGATGGTGCGGGAATTTACGATTTCCGCCAACGATTCCCACTCATTGCGCCTAACTCAACTCCGGAAATTTACAAGCCTCTTTTGTATCAATGCTGGGCTTTGGCTTCGGCTCTGGACTGGCTGCACAATGGAATCAAGATCAAAACCAAGGATATCAAATGCGCCCACATGGATCTCAAGCCTGACAACATTCTGATTATGAAGGACTCTAGCTCAACCGTGGGAAAGTGGGTGATATCAGATTTTGGGATTTCCGTCGCCGAGCATGATCGTCATAGTCGAGCGCATGCATTGAGCATCAGAGATCTTTATCGCGAGGTGACCATTGACAGAGTAGCAGTCCCGCAATTGGGGACGTACCAACCCCCTGAAGGGATTCATATGAAGGGCGACTCAGTTGAAACCGAAGGCGCAGGGCGCCGAAGTGATGTATGGTCTTTTGGATGCGTGTTCTCTGAGGTTCTTGCATGGGCGATCGGCAGACGAACAGAGGTGGAGGAATTTGCGTACTCGCGAGCGCGCCGGGGTCAGAAGGATGCTTTTTGGGAAGAAATCACTCCCAATACGCTATTCCCAGGCAAGAAAGAGTTCAGATTATGTGACGCAGTGGCGAAGTGGTTGAACGACCTCCAGACGCGGAGATTCTCGACAGATCCTGTTGTGAGGCTTTGGGCCCAAAAGCTCGCAAAAGAGATATTGATCGTCAACAAAGCAGACAGGCCTAGTGCGGCAAAACTCGAGAAAGTTGTGGGAGGTCTATACAACGCTTGTGAAATGTTGACCACCTACAATATGCAGGAGTCAGGTCCGCCATTACTACGAAGATATGAACCTCCAGAGCTAGTCGTCACTCCTGCGTGCGTTTCAGGCATATCCCCGGCCATCTCAAGCCCGAGCCTGTCCACAACAGGGACGCGGAGCGGTTCCAGTACTTTTAGCCAAGCGCCTACTCCAAGCACACCTGTCGATTCCACCTACGGCCACACCATCTTCCCACACAGTAGTAGCGGCATACTTGCCACGGCTATATCTCGATCTAAAGTACAAGACACGGTGCCAGTGGCGATGATCTACAAGAATCGGATCGAATTCATCCACATCAACCTCTCACATGCTGAGTCACACGAATGCAGGACAAAATTGCTTCCTGATGAATGGAGAAGTGGAAGTGCGGGAGTGACAATTGAAGGCCGGTACTTTGCAGCTTGGGGGGACTGCAAGAAAAGCATGAAAAGACGTGTGCGTATACTCTGCTTATCTTGACATATTACTGACAAGCCTCAGGTGTACGTCGGGGATACGACGTCTGATCCATTGTCGATGCTCCCATCGGATATAGGATTTATTAGCTCAGTGGCAATATCGGCCCAGGGAATACTTGCTTTGGTTCGTGACAAGGAGATCTTGCTACGGTCGCAAGCATCCCAATTTGAGCCCCAATGCCTATACAGCGAACCAGAGCTGGATCAAACATTTGCCCAAGCAGTATTCAACGAAGAGGGCAGTATGTTGTTCGCATGGGCTGTTGGGAGCAGACAAGAGTCCTTGTATGTCTGGAGAATCGAGAATAACAACTCCTCTAGCCGTCATCAGGTTCACTATAGCTTGGTATGCCTCAGTCATCCTGGTGATTGTCCTGGTGTTCTGATGAGATTACAGCAAGCACGTGGCCACCAGCCCACCACCATCATTCCATACAATCTCCGCTCCGGATGTATTCTTGCAAGACAAGACCGAAAGGACTACCTTGCAGTTTCTTTGAGCAAGCATGTTACGGGTCTTCCTGGCATTGAACGACACAATGAACACTTGAAAATAACTATAGGATGTTTACTGTGCGACGAATGGTTGCTCGGGCTGACGGACCCTGGTATTGTGCGATCCGATGTGCGTCTGTTGAGATACGCAGTCATCTGTACAGACGGCCAAAGTCAATTGGGCCAGCCAGGCAAGCCGTTATGCAAGATGCCCAAGGTCTGCAAAGATGCACTGTCGATGCAGGCATTCAAGGACGGAAGCATGATCGCGGTTGTGGTATGCACCAAGAATAGCATATCTGTGGTCAGGCTCAGCGATACCCCATAAAGTGCGAGAACACCACGCATCAACATCCAGCATTGCCTGTGTAAGAACCAAAAACGGTACACCAAAAGCAATGAAAGCTTTTCTGTCAGCCTTTGGTTATGATCTGCGGCCCCAAATCTGTCTCCACTCTGGTCGCCCTCACCGGCCGCTGGAACAAACGAAATGGCTTTCTTTTCCACCACGCATCGAACCAGACAATCAGCACATATATGAGACCCGTTGCAAGCGTCAGTGGAAGCCATGTGGCAATAAAAATCCAAAAGTCGTGGGCGATCACGATCTGGCGGGCGTCCGTGTCGAACACGAAAAAGTTCATGCCATAGAGGCTGACGATAAACGAGCCGGGTAAGTAAACTGCTGAAACGAAAGTTATGATTTTGACTGCGGCGCTATCATCAACCGAGTCCCGCTGTAACATCTCGAGATGACCGATGAGGTCTCGTAATTCGCGATCGATCTTCGCTGTATCAAGTTGGTTGTGAAGAGATAAGGTATACCCAGCCTGCATCTTATCAGTCTCTGTGATGTCACGGAAATTATGCAATGGGAGTTCGTTCTTCCTAATGCATACCAAATCAATTGCGTTCCGGATTCGGGGAATAAGTTCATCGCAGCTTGCAAGGTAGCCATGAAGTTCAGTTCCCATGGCTTCGTATTCCATCACAATCTGCTTCAACGCGCCACCTGCTGTTGTTAGCGTGCCAGAGGCTGTCGCAGCTTTCAGCTTTTCTACCAGCTCGAGGTTTCCTCGACAACACACTTGAGCACGCAGGACCGAGTCGTTCAGATCTCGAAGTGAAGAGACCATGTCATAGCTCTCCAGGGGTGTGGCTTCCTCTGGAACTGCTGTAAGAGCGAGGTCGTTCTAATATAGTTTTAAGTTGAGATGAAACATCAGCCACTTGATCTTCTAAGACGATAATGCGAGTGCGATGTGAAAGGTAGCAGCATACATGTTTCTCAAACTGCCTCCCTAGGTCCCGCAGATACCATCGCCAGTTTCCCGGAAATGAGGACAAGGCAAGCGAGTGGAGAGCTGTGGACATATAAGTGTTGTGCCCAGAATTCCCACTCAATCCCGCAAGCATGCTTCTTGCAATTTGCAGCTCATTGTGAATTCTTCGTTCGAGAACACTGGCGTCATTCGGATGGAGGAGGATGAAGAGATCAAACGCTTTTCCACCTTGTGCGCGAAAGTGATGATGGTATACTCCGGTATGGCGCCACGACCAAGCCAGATTCTTCCGATGCTGTTTTTCTTCGACATAGTTGATCTGATATGTGATGTCTGCAATAATTCACATAAGCCCCTGTGAGGCGGGAGTAAGGGATAGGAATGCGATGATGACCGACATGAATTTTTCTCATCCCCACCAACATACAGATTATTGCTTCCTGCTTCTGAAACGTTGACATTGCTTCCGAATGAGAGCAACACCTGGAGGAATGACGGGTGGACGTGATATCGTTGTAACAGATACGCCAGCAACCTGGGCGAGATTTTTAAGGGGGTGATTGAATCGGAGGAGTGAATTGAACTGGTTTATAGTGGGTTAACGATAAACTATATTTGATGCCAAATGTAAGGGTAAAATATACATGATCCTTGACCCCTCATCGTCGGACGCCAGAGCCCGCTGCAGGGCTTCCGAGGTTTCGCAGAGGATGGTATCACTGCCATCGCTCTTAACATCCGTCACTCGGACGCGGATTTCCTCCCTGGATGTGAGGACTGAAGGAACGCGAGTGGTGAGCAATTTGTCTAACGCAATCACATTCAGAAAAGTCGAATTGTGATGCGAGGGCAGCTCTTGCAGATAGCCATGCCACATATCCGTATGCAGTCCGGTTCCTGTCATCCTTCCTCAGACCTTGAATTGGCAAAAAGTTTGTCTAGGACGAGGAGAGTATAGGGCGAGAATCTATCTATTTATAAACCCTGTTCGTCGCAGTGGTGCGACGAGATCACGGAGTACCAGATTACAAGTTGATGATGATCGGGAAGCGATGCAGCTAAGCCTTGATTGCCTTAGGCCAATCCTTGTCATTGTCACTCATTCACATCCACAGTCTCACAGTCAGTTGGCTGACCTTGTGAGGCTCAGCCACCAGGATCGATCGGCAGAGTTCTCTCCCCTTTCCCAAATCAGCCGGACGCACGAACCTCGCCTCCTTCCCATTTCCCCGCGCCACCTCAACCTAGTGCTGTAAAGTACAGTACAGGACTCCGCACACTTGGCCACCTACTCCTCCTCGTCGCGCTCCTTCAGCTCGAGTGCCATCTGTCTGGTGTTTCATTTCCTGTCAGCGAGTCCCGTACCCAAGGCAGAATTATGGGAACGGCCTTACTCCAACTCATCCTTTGCCCAAGCCGAGGTTAGCTCAGCCCACCTTACTAGTCTCACAGAGCGCTGAACACTTGCCTCGTCCATCCTCAGATTTACCCATACCACCCATCGTTGACGAATGAACTGCCGCTTCAGTATTAGCGTCCAAAGAACTCACGACGTCTGTTCAGAACGCAGACTTACCTTCACTTCGGTCGTGATGTCGTCTCCATATCTTTGCTTCAGATAATCCACAATATCGGCGGCCATCTCGATATACGTGGAGACGCTGGGAGAAAGTACATGCTGATATAGTTTATCGGAAGTCGCCATTGTGTCAGATGCTGGCTACAACGTGCAGTCCGGGCACTGCCTCCCTCTCTTCCGGCACCGTGATTATATACACCCTTGGTCGCATACACGAGTCAGCAACCAATGCACTTCCTTCATGGAAAACATGGTGTTTCTTGGCTCTTCTCACCAATCAGAACTGGCGCTAGACAACAACAGAAAACAATCATCGAAGATTGCGCCCCGGGCTCGTGAGTTGCAGACGCTCCGCAGCCCCTCTTATCAACAGCCAATCCAATCCCATTCGGTTGTTTGCGGCTCAGCTGTGCCCTGTATTCCTGGTCAGAAGCACCCAGGGTCCTTTCACAGTCATAGCACCATGGTACAGCAAGCGTTTGTTGATTTGAATGCTGCTCCATCCATGATGCATGTCATTCTATCTCCCTTGCCGCCGCGCTTTCTATCTTGACGTGACATTACTTCATTCGTTCTGCCGCTGGCATAACCACAGTCCAGTGTATCATTTCCTGCAATGCCCATTCGAAGGGAAACTCCAGAGAGACTCAAGTATGCCTTTTCCACCTGCGAATGGATTTACTGTGACACAAGGCTGATGTCTCCTCTTCAGGCAAGAGCTTTTCGGTTTCCAGATCTTTGTGAGCACCCGATTCTCATCTAGTAGCTTAATCATGCCTGATTCCCAACCAGTTCATCACTCTAAGCGCTGTGATTGGAAGTGGAATTTTTGTGAACAATGGATCTGCTCTTGCCATTTCCGGCCCTTTGGGCTTGATTATTGCAGCGCTGATCATGAGTGTTGTCGTTCTTTCGGTCAATGAGTGCGTTGCCGAGCTTACACAACAGTTTCCGGTATACAATGCTATTGTTGAATACGTTCGCACTTTCGTTGATGACGACCTTGGTTGGGTAATCGGATTGGTCTATTGGTACGTACAAGCTGATCCATTTCCCTACAGTGACAGCGCTCATAAGACCTGAAGGTATGCGTATGCTGCTTCCTTTGCAAGCCAGAACAGTATGGCAGGTTCGCTGTTAGCATACTGGGGGCTAGGAACTACCTGGCGGGCGCTTATATGTTACGCCCTGGCTCCAATCGTGTTCCTCCTGCTGAATCTAACTGGTGTTTTTGTGAGTTACCTCGCTCATCCCACTTGACTCTGCGCTGATTGACACACGGTACACAGTGGTATGGCATAGTAGAAACAATCGGCGGCTTTCTGAAACTTATAATGATTGTTTCTATTTCTATCTATCTTTATGCGATTGCGGGAAAGGGTTAGTGGCCCCCATGTGCCACAGATGTTGCTGTGCTGACCTTGCGACCAAGGCGATACCAAGGGAATCGCCGATGGTACGTTGCATTCTTCAAATCAAAACACTACTCCATACTCACACATTGCAGTTTCCTCTCCAAAATTCGAGACCGGCATGGGCTTCGAGAATTCTGGCCATGCTGCGTGGTAGGCTGGAGTTCCTTCTTAAATGGAAAGCATCTTACTCACAGCTTAGTTTCGCCATTCCGATCACCGCCTATGCGTTTCAGGGTGTTGAGCTATATGCAATGGCAGCATTTGAAGCTCGTGACGCACACGCAATCCGTTGGCCTTCAAGGTGGATATCTTACGTCGTGGTGATTGTATACATAATGTGCACCGTGGGCGAGATCCTTACCGTCAGCTGGAATGACAATCGCCTTCCACGACTTCATGATGGAACGCAGGAGAGCAACTTTTTAGCGACATCAAGCGTTGGTTCAGCGAGCAGCATGATAATTCTTGCCGCCCTTAATGCCAAAAGCAAAGCCATGGCTGGCTTCCTCAATGGTTGCCTGCTATTCAGCGCCTTTTCAGCGGCCAACACCTCTCTGTATGTTGCATCGCGTACCTTGTATGGAATTGTAAGGTCTATGCCCAGAGAGTTCTGGGTCACGAAGAAGCTCAGCATCCTGAGCCAGGGAACTCGGGTTCCTGTGGGCGCGCTGCTGGCTACGGTTCTTGCCTTTTGCTGGGTGCCCTTCTTGAGACTCAATAATGGCTTTGTCACGCAGCAGGTGCATGATCCGCATTTCCACTTTTCGAATCGTTTTGACTGACCGACTTCTCTAGGTAGTTCAAGTGGTGAGCACCTCAGCTAGCAACGCAATCATGATTGTATGGGCAGCTATCTGCCTAGCATTTCTTCGCTATTATTACTGGTCAGTGAGATTTCAATGTGCAGGTTTGAGTAGAGCTGGTTTGCTCACAGTCACGGCAGGCTGAAGAAACACGACCCCGAACTCCGGCATTCAAGTCGCCCGGAATTTATTCGAGACTCCCCGCAATACTCACCTCGCGGGTCTCTCTTGGTCATTCAACCCGTACAGGCCTGGGTTGGCTTGATTGGATGTATTGCGATCTTCGCATTTTCCAGCGCAACATGGTGGGGTTCCCATGCGACAGTGACCGAGGTCGCCATGGCATACGGGGCCGTGAGTGTTTTCTGAGCCTCTTCTTTCCTTGTTGGTATCCTAATTGTGTGCAGCACCTCATTGTTGTCCTCTTACTCGTGGTTCTCAAGGTATGCAGGCGGCAGAAAGAATGGTTTCGCGCGACGCCCAGTGCAGTCCAGCTGCTGAATATTCTGAATGACTTGCGTGTTCGCAAGATCGATCGATGGGAGCCGACGACCCTGGAACGTGCCAAGAAAGTCTCGGTGCTTTTGCTCCGTCGTTACCGGAAGTCTGGGCCGGAGGAGGCGCAGATCCAGGAACCACAGGAGCTTTATGGTCGGGTGGTTGTCTCTCAGCATGACACCAATGGCCTGGCCAAATTCAGAACCCCGGTCCCTGTCTCACAACCTCGTGAGTCATCTGATGTGTGAGGTGTATATATCCAGATATATCATCACTAACCGTAGTGTCTGGTGGGGATGAATTAAATTGATGACTGATCCACTATCTAAAATGTTCTCATGTTATGAATAACGTTGGAAAATAGAAGTAAGCTGAACTGGTTCAACTGCGGACTTTTGTATATTATGGGCCGATATCAAAGAGGTTGCAATAAAGTACAATACTAGCTAGGAGCTGAATCAAGATGAGGATGATCATTTTGAAACTGTTCGCAGCCAGTTAGTTGAGTCAGCCTGGATCTGGTTGCTGCTGCCATGCCATGGACTAATGGTTACCACTTTCAACCTTCGACCGGGATCAAATCAAAACAGTGGCCATCCAGACCGAAGGCTTGGTGGTCTAAGCTACCCACCCCGCACTGAGTGATGATAGCCCAAGGCTTATCTTCATGTTGCACTACTAGTCCCGAGGGGTTCAAATCCCCTGCGCCACATCCCACATCAACCATTGCTAATAAAAGGACAACCAAGCAGAATGCGCGAGTTTGTGGGACGGTACGTACCTGACTCCAAGCCATGTGAGATCAGATACTACCAACCTAATTCTTGCCTTACTTCCTGATTGCCCCCCCCCCTCTCTCTTTGGGCGTCCCCGGCTCAACATACTCCGATGGGCGGGATTCCCTATCAATCTCGGGGCTGCACCACCTGCAGACAGCGGAGGGTTAGAGTATGTGTGAAGTCTCGTCCACTCCTTCTATTATTGGGTTGCAAACATTTTAATACTAACCCAGTCACCCTCGATTAGTGCGACCCTGCGAAGCCCGAGTGTACACGAGACGTCAAGCGGGAAACGCTATGTCTAGGCTACGAGACGAGTTGGCTTTTCCTCCACGATACCCTCGTCACTCGAGTCGATGCCTCCGGCACAAGCAGAAGGCCTGTAGCCCAGATTCATAAACACCTTCTTTCGCGTCCGTAATCAATCTCAATGATCTCAACGCGATGGTGGATAGCGGGTACTTCCTCATGGCGCGGTTCATGACCCTCGTGTGCGCATTCGGCCCAGAAAGCCAACAATCTTCCGCTGATGAACTGCGGCGGGGAAAGATATAGCGATGCGCTGAGGGTGATGGCATGGATACTACGCCAGAAGCTTCCACCCACGCCTCACGCACTCTACGCGACCATCGTCTTCCACACCTGCGAGGTAATGTGACTGATCCCAAGAAGACAAATTCACTGGGGCAGGGGAGATTGACACACAAACCCCACCGGCAGACAACGCAAACGGGCGAAGCTTCTCTGCGCAATTGCTTGACGCATGTACGGGGCGTTACGGCGATTCTCGATCATGGGTCCTTCAGGGACCATCTCGTTCGAGATCTGATCGGAACAATGCTTATTCGACAGAAGTTAGCCGCAGTAAGCCCAAAGGGGCAGAATCCACCGCTGTCTTCGATTTCATCTGGGCTAACAGCAGGTGCGGCTTTCTGCATCACGACCTGCCCGTCCAAGGCCACCGACGGGGATCGGGAGTGCCTGACTCGCGACAGAACCGCAAGGCCCCTCGACGCGATTCTCGCTTTGCTTGCTGAAAACGTGCGGCTGCAACAAAGGCTGGACGTAATCTCCCGCCAGCCTCGTCCCGAGTGTAGGGAAGCAGCCGCCCACTGTCTCGACCTGGTAAAAAGGCTGCGCACATGTTTGCCTGATGGGTTGGGCGAGAGCCGCTCCTCAGAGACGCGACCTCCTGTACCCTGGGACTCCAGCGTGGCTGCGACCTGCCAATCCACAGCCACTACCTTTCCCGGAAGATGGCCTCGCTCACCCACCACCGTACGAATTCGCCAATCTAGCCACGGCCAAAACTGTTCTGCTCTTCTGGATCGTGGCATTGACGTTATCCGCAGACTCATTCTCCCACACCAGGACGCTGTGCCGGGAAGTTACCCAATCGACGCTCGGTGCCGTCTCATCGACACTACTATGCGTATCGGCCCGCGAAATCCGCCGCACGGTGGCGTATCTCCTGCAGCCCAGGAACTTGATGTCCTCCGCGCATTGCCTTCTGTTCGCAGTGTCCGTGGTGTCGAAGTGCTACCTGGACGGTCGCGTCGAGGCGGGCTTTGCGTGGTGCCAGGACATCTACCGGATTCTTCAGTCGCGGGGGTGGAGGATGGCCGGGCGGCTTGGTGACGCGGACCGGAGACTGTGGGCATGCATTCAGGTGCCCACGGCGGAGGATATGGAGTTCGGTCCCCCTATCCGTCCTGTAGTCGTATCGAGTTTTGGATCTACAATCCCCAGCATCTGAAGTGAGAATAACGATCCGAGAATGAGGAAAACTAACTCGACTACCCTTCTTGCTATCCTTTAGTCTGGTACCATAGCGCTTACCTATGGTTTGAATTATGGTTATACACGAGCCACATAGCATGCAAGAGGGGCGATGGGAGGAACTGCCCTGCTACTTCAAGTGTACGGTGGGCAGTGGATAGTTACCAGTGTCGTCAAAGATTGCGCATGCACGGTCAGCTCATAACCTTAACTTTTTACGAGTCTACTACACCTGGATCATCCAAAAGCGAGCATGATCTAAAGAATACAATCCCCTCATCACGTAGCCCACATCACACATCTCAATCTCTATTTCCATAACCTCAATCCCAGGAGATCCTATCATACCACACCGTCAGTATCACAAGTCACCAAATCTTCAGAAGTAGGTTGCAGAAGGAAAGAAGGAGATTAAGGGGAGTAACTTACCACAACATAATCCCCGCCCCGGCCGCGACCGCCAAGAACTGGGTGATCATGTGCTTCACCTCCGTGCGCTTGTCCCTGCCGCTCGTCTCCAGCAGCTCGGGGATGACTGACACCGTGCCCACGTACAGGAACGTCCCCGCCGTGAATGGGAGAAGCATATCGCCCCAGGTGAGACTCGTGCCGAGGAGACCCGCCGTTGGCGCGGAAGAGGTGGCAGCAGCGACAGCAGCAGAATTCCCACCGAGCTCCTGCACCGCGATCCCGATGAAGGTGCCCAGGAACGCCCCGATGGCCGTGACGAACTGCGCGCCCATGGCCTTGCGCTTCGAGAAGCCGGACTGGATCAGGAGGGCGAAGTCGCCGACCTCGTGGGGGATCTCGTGGAAGAAGACGGCGACGGTCGTGGTGGCGCCGATGGTCGGGGAGGCGTAGAACGAGGAGGACATGGCTAGGCCGTCGGTGATGTTGTGGGTGAAGTCGGCGATCAGGTTGAGGTAGCCGCCGAGTTTGATGCTGGTGCTGGTGGTGGGTTCGGGCGTAGCAACAAGGGAAGTGGAGGATGATGGGGGAGACGCGGCGGCGGGTTTGCGGTTTTTGACGTTGTTGCTGGTGGTGGTGTTGGTGGTGGCGGAGCTGCTCGTGGTTGTGGCGGAGGGTGCGATCTGGCTGTGTTCGTGCGAGTGCGAGTGCGAGTGGCCCCCCTGGCCGCCGGTTGCGATGCGGAGAGCCTTGTCCATGGCGACGAAGGTGAAGAAGCCCACCATGATGCCGAGTCCCAGGAGGAGGTTGCGGTTCGGCTCGACCATCACGAAGCGGACGTGGTCGGGAGCGTCTTCACCCAGGAAGATCTCGGGGAGGAGGTGGAAGATTGTGTCGCCCAGGAGTCCGCCGACGGCGAAGGCGACCATCACGGAGAGGGAGGAGGGGTCGATGTTCGGGGGGCACAGGGCGAGAAGGAAGTCTGCGGGAGGTATTGGTATGTCAGCCGGGGTGATCGAGATAAGGAGATGGGGCCGGCGTACTGGGAGGTCCAGAGATGTAGATGGTGGCCAGGATCGCATTGACCGCTGGGCTGCCGGGGAACAGGACCGCGAAGATCTTGGACATCAGGCTGGTGGTTTGGGGGCTCGTGGCGCGCTTATGCTCGTTGAGGGACTCGACCAAGGGGCATTTCTGAGAATCGTGTCAGGTCTAAGTGAATCACGAGGGTATGGCTAAGTTGGAAAGCCGGCGGGAGCCACGAAAGATAGACAAACTCACCTGCAACTCATCCTCGATCTCGCCTGCGGACAGCTCTCCGACGGAGATAGCATCCTGAGCGACAGCCAAAGCAGAAAACAAGACTACCCCAGCGGCAAGAGCCAAGCCAATGCGACGCATTGGCAGAGAAGCAGTGGAAACCATGGCCGTGAGGGAATCCAGCGGGGCAACTAACAGAAGAAGCAGGGTTATGGACAGGTCATGTAGAGCTGAGCTGACTGGGGGAAATTTAAATAGTAGGTAAGAAGACCCTTAGTCCACCTTAGCGGAGGAAGCGGCGGCGCGAGCGCGTGTTGGTCTCATCGGAACCCCCGATCTCCGGATCTTTGCTCTCCTTATCAATCGGGAGGCAAACATGCCAAGATAAGCAATGCAAACAACCTTCACAAGTTTTCGGGAGGCCCGATAACTTTTTTTTTTTTGAGGCAGCCAGCCAGCCAACACTCACTCCAACCAACCAATCCAAACCCCCATCAAAATCAACACACCATGACCAACGTGCGCCAGAAGAGAAAGAACCGCTCCGGCTTGCCCAAGGCCAAGGCCAAGCGTACCGGTCTCCTGAAGAATGGCCGGAAGAAGATCAATGTTCTGGGAAATGCCATTATCGCTGAGAACTGGTACGAACCAACCACTTATCCCCGCGACGGGGGATTTCTCCCTCGATGCAGAAGCATTCTACAGCCCCCCCTTTTGCGCAGCAACACACACAGCTAACACGCGACTTCTCTTCTTGAATCAACAGGAACCGCGATTTGACCCTCACGCAAAACTACCGCAACCTGGGGCTGGTGCACCGCCTGAATGCGCCGACGGGAGGATCCGAGAAGCGGCCCACGAAGGAGGGGGGCGTCGCGCGCGAACGGGAGGATTCGTTGCACATCAAGAGCAGCGCGACGGCGGTGGCGCAGAAGAACGCGGCCAGCGAGATCCGCGTCGAGCGCGACCCGGAGACCGGCAAGATCCTGCGCGTCATCCGGCCCGAGGACGACGACGAGATCGAGGTGGCGGGCCGCAAGCACAAGCGCAGCAACCCGCTGAACGACCCGCTGAATGATCTATCGGACGACGAGGAGGCGGAGGGTGATGGGTCGACGAGTGCGGCGCAACAGAAGCCGAAGCAGAAGGCCGACAGCGAGATCGTCCGGCAGCTCGAGCTCCAGGCCGACCTGGAGAGCCGCAAGGTCGCCGCCAAGAAGCCCCGCCACCAGAGCAAGAGAGAGGAGGAGTGGATTCTGCGGCTGGTGGAGAAGCACGGCGACAACTACGCCGCCATGGCGCGGGACCGGAGACTGAACCCGATGCAGCAGACCGCGGGCGATCTGAAGCGGAGAATCACCAAGTGGGAGAAGAGCCGGTCATGATTGCGGGTGTCCTGATATAAAACAAATCTCTTTGCATTTTGGCGAGTATGGCGTTGAGTTTCCTCTTCTTTCTTCGGGGTTTCTTTGTTGAGCTAAAAGTGTCTGTGTCTGTCTTGGGTCATATGAACAATGTCCGGCCCTACTTACTTCGCGGGATACCAGTTTAGTTGGGATGAAAATGATCGATTCTGGCCGGAGCCACGTCTATTGTACAGTCATAGACGATCAGAGCAGTGGTCCGCCTACAGTATCAATGAACAAAGGTGCTACTAGAGTCATAGATTATCTTCTTTCGTAGACATCAATGAACTAAACCAGCGACCCAGTTTTTCGGCAACAGCACTATGCCAGGGAGAAAGTACACAGTCGTTACCTGGTGATTACTCCATAAAGTGAAGGTGACTCCAAGAATGGGATATGTTATTAAATGTCACCTGAGACAAGTGATGCCCGCCTGGTGACAAACTATCCCTTGCATGGGGTTTTACTCTGGATCCTCGTTGTCGCGTATCTTTCTGAAACAAAGTTCCAAAATGACACTAGGCAAAGGCTATTTCTGTATAGAAAAGCACTACAATGAAGCAGAATTCTCACCTAATAACTACAGTTCTTTACCTAGTCAGATAGACAAGTCTTGTAACATCACGTGGTCAATCTGCCAAAGGGTCAGTCCTAGACATAGGTATGTTTCGGGAAATATCCTAAGCGTTTTCATGTAGACTACCACTGCACCACTTACAATACAATTAGGTTACACATAAGAACAACCGACACAGCATATTCTCATCAAAGGTGTCACATATATACTCAAACAATAACTCATGCACCATGAACAAAAGTTCATCCCTTCTTCTCCATTCTCGCCGAAATCCCCTCCGGCTCCACATCCTCCACAACCTTCCCAATTTCAACCACCATACCCTGCGATGCGGCACCACCCGCAGGCCCCGTAAAATGCTTCCGCCCGGTGCTCACCCACGTTCCCAGGGCGATCAGCGCGATGACTCCGATAGCCGCGCTGGTGTAGTTCATCGAATCGTCGGTGACCGGGTAGGTGGTGGGGAAGTTGAAGGTGATCGAGGCAAACAGCAGGAAGAGCAGGCCGAGGACGTTGAGAGCGATGGAGAGAGAGGAGGGCAGGGCAAAGGGGCCGGTCATTGTCTTCTGGTGGGAGGTTATGTAGCCTAGGAGGCGGCTGGCGAGGGCGGTGGCGTAGGAAAGGTCTGTGTTTGGGTCAGAGGGTTAGTTTGACTGTGATAATGTTGAAAGCGGGCGAGGAGGGCAGAAGAAGGAGACAAGCAACGTACAGAACCCTTCAGTGGAAATAGCAATCACCGTCTCAAAGCCAGTACTCGTCCCGAAATCAATCGCGTCCAGCGCCAGCTGCACGACGAGCGTCAACAACACAGCGTTCACCGGGACTTGTCTCTTCTTGTCCACCCTGGCCAGCCAGGTGCTGCAAGGGAGGCCGTGGTCGCGGGCGAAGGCGTAGACGCAGCGCGAGCCCTCAGCCAGGATGTTGTTGCCCGCCACGATGACGATCACGGCAATCATGCTGGCCAGCACACAGGCGGCAGCCTTGCTGCCGGTTGAGTCATAGAAGATCTGGATGACCGGGACACCCGTGGCCGAGTTGGCAGTCGCGGTGATGTCGCCGATGCAAAAGCAGAGCACTAGAAGGAACGTAAACCCAGTGACGGCGCCCAGCACCACACTCATGATAATCGCCTGCGGCGCCTGCTTGGAGGCCGATTTCATCTCTTCCGTCATGTGGGAGGGCGCGTCATAGCAGCACATCCCGAAGCAGGCCTGCAGGATGCCAACGATTGCGGCCATCGCTTTGTCCCACCCCGTGGTGTTTTGAAAGTTCACGAAGACGAATGAGGCGGGTTGTTTGTGGTCGTTGGTCGCGAGGAGGACGATGATTGTGATGAAAAAGGCGCCAATGTTCCAAATCAGAATAAAGCGCGCGAGGCGGTTGAGGAGGTGCGGGCCCCAGATGTTGATGGCCGCAGCCAGGAGGGCAACGAGGTAGGCGACTAGCACCGTTTGCCAGCGTTGGATCTCATAGGACGGGAAGACGAGGTTGGCCATCCCGAGGACAAACTGGGCGGCGATAGAGTTGTTGGTCGCACCCATCGCAAGGAGGCCTGTAATTTCCGACAGTTCTTGGTTAGATATGGGTTGGATGTTAGACACGAAAGAAGGAGCAAGCACACCTATAAGCATGAACCAGCCGGTGACATATGACAGCCCCCGAGCGATCTTGGGAGGTGCTAATGCCGCAACCCACGAGTATTGACCTCCTGCCACTGGATACATCGAACACATTTCCGCCATGGGGATGGCAACGGCAAGGGTGAGCAGGCTGACTCCAATGAAACTGAAAACCATGACAGGTGGACCACCCGAGGTCACTCCCACGATGAAGACACCGCTAAGGGCCGTCCAGCTGATCGTCAAGTTAGCAGATTGATATCATACAATAACCTTGGGAGGACCGAGACATACGAGGTGACTACACTGAAACTGAAACCGATCATACCTAGCAGCCCGAAGGACCGTTTGAGCTCTTCACGATGATAGATGGTCAGCATGTCTTGGACTATCGTCATTGGTCATCCATACCTTGTTCGTATCCTAAATGCTCCAAACGAACATCTTCCCCCGCCGATGCAGGGGGGATCTGCTGGATCTCATCATCTTGTGGAAGCATCTTCACTATGCTTTGTGGATGTAGTCAACAGGAGCAGCTAGTCACTCAGGAATGAGCGTAGCAGAGCTACCTATTTATCAACCGGCAAGCACGATGATGAGACAGCATCAGGGCTGCAATTGCCGCCTGGTTCACTAGGAACTTGGTAGATACTTGACCAATGCCGATTAAACTGGGGAAGCGATAACCGGGGGGCGATAAGATAACCGGCAGGTGGCTGCAATTTAACCCAAAAGAGAAGGTTCTCGCGATGCACGGTGGAGCATTAAGAGTCAGGGACAAATCGCACAACCTCCCTTGTGCTCCAAGTCATCCTGTTGTGTAACAGCCATGCCATGATGATAAGCTTATCATGACAACAAGGATTCCTCATTCAATAGATGTAGAATATTTTGCCGTTGTCTCATGAACGGATTACCGATGACTCTCATCTCCGTGGTGCCACTCACAAGCCAAGCTCGTCAGAAGCCGAGAAGCCCCTTGATTGAGGCGCAAATCAGATCAGACACACAATGATTACCACAACGCAAAGACTTATGGCCATTTCTCGGCGATCGGCAAGGGTGACCCCGAGTCGCTCGATGACAAAAGCCTCGGGAATGCGTGATTCTGCATAGTCTGGACCCTGTCTGAGCTAAACCAGAATAATTCATGATGTGCATCCAAGACCGATTGATCCACAAAATTCGCCCTAAGACGGATTGAACGCGGGGAAGTCCCAGATATCAGAGTCAATCTCAATGGAGGGAAGATCACCCATTCAATGTGAAATAGCTGGGGAAAATGTTTATCACAGGGCTCGAATCCGATGACTTGACCGTGTCATGCCAAACATAGAAAGGTAAGCAACTGCCGCAAGGTCAGTGATTGTCTTGAATTCGAGGATAACTCACAACGACTCACCTGATGCTTCCTCACTTCTGAGAGCTTATTCAGAGCCACGTCGCTTGTCATCTGCTTGGTCTTCACCATTGCCGCTGTGACTTGCCTGGATATAGTACTCACACCAGGAACTGTCGTCATTGAGCTCGCAGACTCACAACCATAATCAATCATGGTCTAGCGCAGTTTCCAGGAGAAGAGAGATGTCGCGGGTTTGGCGACGGTGGCCCAGGGCGTCTGAATCTCTCGGGTCATTTTCTCGACAACTGATTATCGATAAGGATGGATTTGTCGGGGTCATGAATCAGTGATAAATTCCGCTACGCGAGGTTATCCAGAGGAACTGGCCAGAAACGATGATCGTGGGCGGTGAGCGGCCTGACTAGCAAGTCCGCAGGGCTGCCGACAATATTCACCTAAGGTCTCGACGAGCAAGGTCAAGTTCAGAAATGACCACAGAAGAAATTATCCACAACAAGTCCCGCACCTAAAGCAACAGACTTTCAAACATGCAGCCGATATGTCGGCTCCAGGCTGCGAGATTGGCAGTATATCCACACGCGTATTCGCGTATCCCGTCCTTGCGAGACGAGCATAGAGCTACGGAAGGACCCACTCGCCGCCCCGACGAGCCGAATACGCCAATACGACATTCCATAGCCGTCAAGACGCGGCTTCACCCCCTCAAGCGCCCACTTGACTGGTCCTCGGGGCTAATAACCGATGTTTCACAGCTGTTAAACCTAGGTCAGGGGAAAAACCTTAGGGAATGAGGGGAAGCGTATACGCAAAATGCGGAAACACTGTTTTGATTTGAAGAGCCCCAAAGTACATAAACTCCGCCGTTGATCTCGAGCTACAATATTGAGCAGAAGACATCATCCAAGTTGATACAACATGTCCATCAACCTGAGCGGAAAAACGTGCCTTGTGACCGGCGGTGCAGGCGGGCTGGGCAAGACTATCGCAACCCGGTACCTCCAAGCCGGCGCCAACGTCGTCATCTGCGACATCAACCAAGATCGCCTCGATCAAACATCCAAAGAACTCGCAATCGGAGACAATGCCAGCCGACTGCTGACGATTAAGACCGATATTACCTCCGCGTTGGACGTGCAGGCCCTCTTCGATGAGATCGTCGCACGGTTTCAGAAGCTGGACATCCTAATCAACAACGCCGGAATCATGGACCGATTTGACCCTGTCGGAGAGCTAGATGAGGACCTCTGGAATCGCGTGATCGCGGTGAACTTGACGGCGCCGTATCTGCTCAGCAAGTTGGCGGTGCAGGATATGCTGAAAGGGGACGTGGTGGATGGGCGCATCGTGAACATCGTGTCCGTGGCTGGGAAGGCAGGCTTTGCGGCGGGTCAGTGCTTTTATCCTTCAATCCCCAAATTGGTAACTCACGCACTCAACTATAGGTGCCGCGTACACGGCGAGCAAACATGGCTTGGTGGGCTTGACTAAGAACACGGCCACGTTCTATGGCTCCAAGGGCATTCGGTGTAATGCGTTGATGCTGGGTGGGATGGACACAAATATCACGGATGCATTCATGACAGGGGTGAACATGGAAGGGAAAGACAAGGCGATGGATATGATGACGGCTGCTAAGCTGGCAATGTGCGATGTCGATCAGGTGGCGGATCTTTGTCTCTCGATCACCTGCGGGCCAGGGTCAAGCTTGATCAATGGGACTTGTATTCCTGTGGACCAAGGGTTGACTGGATGGTTAGGTTAAGATAGTTCTAGAAGGAGTTGTTGTGGTGTAAACGAAGGTCAAATTGAGTTACTAGGGAAGAATATACCGGGCACATTGAATGAAGGCCGGATGCCTGTTTTTCGGAGCTCAACCGCATCCATCATTAATCAATGCTGGCCATCACTTGCAAACACACTTGAATCAAAGGAACCGATCCCCGCCGGCCACCTCTCCTTCGCATACTAGACGCTCAAGGCAGTTTTTTTTTTTTTTTTTTTTTTTTTTTTTTTTTTTATTATTTTTTAAAAAAGATGGCTTTTAGTCCGTCGTCCGTATCACGTCTCTTATGAAGCAAGCGAGAGATTGACGTTGCAGCACACCCCTGAACTTGCCCAATGCACCCAGGAGACCCTCAAACAGATTGAGACCCACTCCCTGCACTTAACCACACCGACCTCCAGGCTCACACCTTCTGCAGCCACAAAGCGCGGAGGTAATTCGCATCGACAGGAGGACAGTCCACCCACCCTTCCTTCACCCCGCCTAGCGCGGCATCGGTCCGCCTGCGATCCAGGGCAAACATCTGATGGCCCCGACGAAAGTATCCGCCCGCCACCTGCACGCGCAACTGCTCGTCCTCATCCGCGTCCGCGGCCGCTGGGTCGCTCCCCGACACCGCGGCCAGCCAGTCGTCCACGCTCACCACGCGGCCCGCGGTGGCGTCGCCGCGGATCGACCCGGTCAGGCCCGGCAACTGGTCGAGCGGCAGCGGGGTGGGGTTCGTGAGATGGAAGATCTCGACGGCGGGGCCGTGGGCCTCAGCGGCGGCAGCTCGTGGGTGCTGGGCGAGGTGGGCCAGGAGCGCCGTGAGATAGTTGACCGGAACCAGGTCCACGACGAAGGGAGCGGGGGATTCGCGCGCGAACCGCGGCACGAGCCGGTGGCGCACCATGTCGAGGATCAGGCTGCGCACGAAATCGCCGGCCGGCGCAGGGAGGCCCGTGGTAGGGTTGCCGGTCACGGCGGAGGCGCGATAGATGGTCACCGGGAAGCCGCGGGCGGCGGCGTGCGTGAGCAGCATCTCAGCCGCCCACCGCGACTTGAAGTAGCCCTGGTCCGCGGTCGGCGGCGGCTTGAAGTGGCCGGCGCTGGCTTCGTGCACCACCGCGGGCGTCGTGGGCGGCGCCGTCCAGAGCTGGAGGTGAGGCACACTCCAGGTGGAGAGATAGTGGATGGGGCTGGGGCCCCCCCAGCGAGCGAGTTCGATCAGCGGCAGGATGGAGGCGGTATTGATGTGCTTGAGGTCGTGGTAGGTCTTGAGGAGGGAAACCTCGGAGGCGAGGTGGTAGATGGTCGCGATGGATCGACCCAGCGCTTCGAAGGCGCGTGGGAGCAGCCCGAAATGAGAGCGCTCGGCCAAGCTGCCGGGAATCATGCGGAGGCGGGTCAGGATCTGCTCCGGGGTGAGCGTGGCGTTGAGGAGGTTGTACTCCTGCAGTCGTTGGAAGACCTGCGCATGGTCCAGGGGGTGGTGCGTGCCCAGGAGATGGATGGTGCCGCTGGGTTGCGAGGTCAGCAGTTGCGCCAGCAAATGGATCCCGGTGAAGCTCTCGGCCCCCGTCATCAAGATATCATGTCCGCCCGGACTCATCGGGGCGCTGGGGGGATGGTAGCGAGGCTCGTCGGGCACAGTGGTCTCTTGCGCCCAATCGACCACATCCTCCTCGGGGCTCCCCGGCGTCGGCGGTGGCTGACCCTCTCTGGGCACCTTGCTGTTGACCAGTTCGACCAGCTGCACGAGCGTCGGCCGGCGGACCATCTCTTGCAGGCTGATCGGGATGGACAGCGTGTTTTGCAACTTGCCCTGCAGCCGAAGCAGGAGCGTGCTGGAGCCCCCCATGTCGAAGAAATTGCTGGTCGGTTCCACGGGGATGTCATGGTCCAGCCTCAGCACTTCCTGCCACACGCGCGTCACGGCGGCCATGGTGCGGTCACTGACCTCCTCGTCGGCACGATCCTGCGCCTGAGCCTGGTCCGACGTCGACGCCGCCGCGGGGCCGGCGCCGTGCGGGGGCGTGCCCTGGGCCCCAGAGGCGCCCAGGGCTCGGCGATCCGTTTTCCCACTGGCCGTGGTGGGCAGCTGGTCGACGAACTGATAGGTGGCCGGGAGCATGTAGCTGTTCAGGTAGGGTTTGGCCCGGGTGTGCAGCAGCGTGGCGTATGCTCGCTTCGCGGCCTCCGTCGGCATCGCCTGTTTCGGCACGATGAAGGCCACCAGCCACCGATCATCGGTCAAATTGTCCGCATCTTCCGGCGCGGACTGCGCGATGACCGCCAGATCCACGATGCCTTGCCCTTCGGGGGTCCCTGAGTGCTGGTGCAGGACATGTTCAATCTCGCCCAGGTCGATGCGGAATCCGCGCAACTTGATCTGCTTGTCGCCGGCGATGCGGCCCAGGAATTCCAACTGTCCGTCCGGCAGGAACCGGCCCAGATCGCCTGTGCGGAAGAGCCGGGTCCAGCCGCGGCGATGGTCGTCCGGCGAGGCAAAGGGATTCCGGAGGAACTGCTGGCGGTTGCTCTCGGCGCGGTTCCAATACCCCCGGGCCACCTGCGAGCCGCCGATGCAGATTTCACCGACAAAGCCCACGGGCAGGGGGTTCATGGCCGCGTCCACAATGTAATGGCGGCAGCTGCCCACGGCGTGGCCGATGGGGATGTTGAGCGTCTGGTCTGCCGGCCACTGCACGCGGTGGATCGTGGTCTGCACCGCCGCCTCCGTGGGACCCCAGGCATTGTACAGCGTCGCCGCGCATGCCAGCTGATTGAATGCCTCGGCGAGCCGGGTGGGCAGTCGCTCCCCGCACAGGAGCGCAATCCGATAGTCCGGACAGGCGACCAGCGACGCCCCACTGTGCTCGAGCACCAAGGCGAATTGCGTCGGGGTGAAGTAGGTCACCGTGACCGATTCCTGTTGCAGATAGTCTCCCAACAGGCGCGGATCGCTGCGGGTGGCCTTGGTGGCAATGCAGAGCTTAGCCCCGACGCATAACGGGGAGAAGAGTTCCACCACGGACAGATCAAAGGACGGGGAGATCTGGTGGAGGAAGCGATCCTCGCGCGTGAAGTTGAACCGGGCCTGCATGGCAGCCAGCATCTCACCGACATTCTCCTGGGTGAGCGGCACTCCCTTGGGGGTCCCAGTACTTCCCTAGGCATGTGTTAGCCAGCCTCTCTGCAGGCCGCGTCACAGGGTTAGGGCTGTCGGGCAGGGGACCAAGCAACATACCGAAGTATACATCATGTAGAAGGGGTCCGTCGGGACTGACCGCGGAAGATCGGCTGGCCAGGCGGCGCGAGTGGCGTTTTCGATACTCATCACGTTCGGCAGACTGGGCGACTCACGCCCCAAAGACGAGGCCAGGGGGTCAGATTCCGCGTCGACCAGCAGCAACTGCATCCCCGAGTCGCCCACAATATATGCGAGACGGCCAACGGCCATGGTGGGATCCAAGGGCACGTATCCACACCGGTTGAACAAGGCCCCCAGCATTGCGGTGACCAGCTCAATCCCCGGGCTGGCCAGGATGCCCACGACTTGTCCCGGGCCAATGCCCCAATTCTGCAGCGAAAAAGCCACCCGACGGGCCGAGGCCACGAGGTCCTGATAGGTGATAGCCTCCCCGGCCGACGTCGTGATCGCGATGGCGCTCGGCTGGGTCTCGGCCACGTCGACGATCCGTCGTGGGAGGTTCAACGGTTGCCAGCCATGGTCGGGGGGGTTGCTGTTCCAGCAGTGGAGGGCCAACCGCTCCAACTCCAGCGTCCCCGCAAGGCGGACCTCCGGGATGGACTGCCGGTGGTCCTGGATCAGGCTGGTGACGAATGTCTGGAAGTTGTCGAAGAAGCACCGCATATCCCCGTCATCGTACAGGGCGGTCGCGTACTCGAGCTCGAGCTGCAGGCCGTTCTCGGCATCCTCACGGGCCTGGAGGCTCAACTCGCAGCCCGTGGGCATATTTTGGACCTCGGTGCCTTGGAATGTGAAGTCCGTGGTCTGATAGCGGGCCTGCTCGTCGGGCTGCTGGTAGTTGACCAAGACCTGGCTCACGGGGAAATGCGCCGGCGTGCGCGCCCCCTGCGTCTGGGCGACAATCACATCAAACGGCACGTGGCTGTGCGCCATCGCCTCGAGCACCCGGCCCTGGATTGTTTTCAACAGCGTCTCGAAGCTGCCGTCACAAGCATCCCGGCATCGGATGGGCGCCATATTCACAAAAAAGCCCAGCACCTCGCCCAGGTCCGCATGCGGGCGGTTTCCGTCCACCATGAGAATCGTCAGGTCCTCGTCCGCCGTGTACCGGTGCAAAAACGCCCGGAAGGCGGCCAAGAGGAAGTGGAAGGGGCTGGTGCGCGCTTGCGAGCAGATGCGCTTCATGCGTTTGAGCTGGCGCGCAGACAGTGCTGCGACCACCGTCTCCCGGCCGTACTCATCCCACGACGGCCGCTCGCCCTTGGCGAAGGGCAGCAGTTGGCAGCTGGCCGGCATGCCCGCCAGCGTTTGCTTCCAGTACTCGACCCCCTTTCCCATGGAGGGCGAGGTGAGCAGATGATTGTGCCACAAGGTGAAGTCGGCGTAGGTCACCTTGGGCGCGGGAATCGTGCTCAGGCTGCGCCCCTGGCGGAGGGCGTCGTAGAGAGCAGCCAGCTGCCGCACAAATGACTGGGAATTGCTGCGATCCGTGCAGATGTGGTGCATGATGAGGACCAAGGCGCACTCGGTGCTGGACCTCTGGACCAAGGTCGCCTCCAGCACTTCACCCTCCTCAATCCTCATCTCCTTGCGCTTCAGGGACCCGACCAGCGTCTCCAAGGATGCGGTGGAACCTTCGCTGGGACTGGATTTGGAGAGATCATGGAACCCGAGGTGGAAGGGCCGGGGAACCATCACTCTCTGCTCGTCCTGCGCCTCGCCTTCCTCATAGGCGGTGCGCAGGATGGGGTTGCGGGCAATCAACTCGGACAGAGCTTGTTCCAAGATGCCATGATCGGCCTGTCCCCG